GCATTTTTGGCTGCTTGTCCCTAACGTAGAGCTGAGGGTAAAGGTTGCAGCTCCTTCCTCAACACTGCGGCTTCCCCTCTTGCATGCGCATAGTCAAAGCCTCCTGTTCCCAAGCCCGAATAAGCAAGCTGTGTGCCACTCCCAGAAGAAACTTTTCTCCTTTTTCTTTCCTTAAGGCCCAAATCTGTCTGTTATAAAGGAGCATTGAAGAGGAAAGGATTATATTGAACAGGGATGCTTGGCTCTACCTTGCCCCATCTTGCTGGGTTGTTCACATAGTACTATTTTTATTAGGACCCACCAAATTGTCACGAAGTCGCAAACAAGCTTCCAAGAATTCATCAGATAGAAGCTCAGTTGTTGTTGTTGTTGTTTTAAGAATGGGGAGGAGGAGATAAAGAGGTCTCAGGGCATGATGGCCAGTCTCCCAAGTCTGCTGTTTTTAGCCTTTTTGAAATAGCGGCAAGGACATTTTGTGTCTAATGTAACATGCAGCGCGTTCTAGGCTTGGTTTCAAGAAGGTTACAGGCTGCAGACTTTATGCATTTCCTTTATGCCTTGAAACATCTTGTCTTCTGTCAGCCCCCCCCCCCCCTTTCCTTTTTTTGGTTTTTGACCAAGCATCCAGCCTGATAGGGTTTTGGGGAAGTCAGAAATCTTGATCCCTGTTTTGTGACAGTTTGGCTATGATAAGCACTCAGGGCCGGCCCCAGCTTATTTTGCACCCTAGGCGGGGATCCCTTCTGGCACCCTCCCACCACCGGCGCACCCACCAATTTTCAAAAATAAATGCATTTTAGGAAGAATGAAAAACACAAATAATCAAGAAACTCCCAGACTACGGGGCCGGGTGCAGTTTGGTGCCCCTAAGGGCCGGCCCACTCTAGGCGATCGCCTAGTCCGCCTAGTGAGTGAGCCGGCCCTGTAAGCACTTATTCCAGTACAGTGGTGGTGAATTTATTTTCCCTTAAAGACCAAGCGGTGACCTGCAGTCTTCATATATTTTCCGGTATCATTCTTTTTTAGGACAGGGCAATCAGACAGCAGCTGGAGATTTACTTTGCAGACATTTGGGGACAGCTAAAAGAAGCTGCCTTCCCTATAAGGTCAGCAAAAAAAAAAGAGAGAGAGAGCACTGTTTGCTTAAAAGAAAAAGAAGCAATGGAAGCCTTGAAGAAACTCAGTTTATAGTGTCTTCATCTTAGAAGCATCCTGATGTTTCTCCTGCTCATCAGTTCCCAAGGATTTGCCCCATCCTGCCCTCATAGATTGAGATTTAAACAAGTGACCTAATTCCCACTGACAAGCATACTTGGTGTGTTAGTGATATATGTCCCCAGCCTCCCCACTCCCAAATTTTATCATTCCAAAAAAAAAGAGAAAGGGAATCGTGCTAGTCTCCTTATCGAAGGTGATATGAGGAGAAAGTGCAACATCAGCTAATCCCCTTGCCTGCTCGGTCTTTCCAGTGTTCTTATACATTGACTACAGAGACCCTGGGACGATCAACAGGACTGAGATACCAGGCTCTATACTCAGGACTTTGCTGTTGGGATTGACTTGTGAGACTATCACACTCCTACACAGCACTATGAAGCATAGGTCACACTAGCATGAGAAGAGGAGTGCTTATAGCCCAGGGAGGAAATAGTCCTGTCTGTTTAACAAAGGCTTCAACTGCCCATTCCTTCACGTTAAGCCTCTGTTCAGGCCTGTAGCCCAGATCTTGTGGCTTGTGGGGCATTTTTTTTTTGGTGGGGCTGCCATTATTTGCCATAATGAAGGGGGGGTGGCATGTGCCCCTCTCCCTCCCCTCCTGCAAGATGTATGGGGTCCTTCAGCTGATCAGTGGGGAGCATGTGCTACCTGCTGATCACCTGAAGGGCCCTTTAAATCTTGCAGGAGGGAAGGAGTGGGGTGCGTGCTGCCAAACACCCCCCCCCCTTCTTCTCAGAAGCATTTAAAGGATCCCTTTAAATGCTTCTGGGAAGAAGCAGGGGGGTGAGGCTTTAAGGAAGGGGCTGGCCCTTTAAGGAAGAGGGCGGAGCCTCCAATATCCCCACCGCTACAGGCCTGTCTCTGTTAAAGGGACAGGACAGCTTTCTCCTGTCCTGTTGGCAGCTCTGCATGGCGATGTTCCTCTGCTTTGAAAAGGGGACTAAAATCTGCAGAACCTGTGGGGAAAGTGGGGAAAGAAATTTCAGTTTCCAATACTTAGTAAAGCAATATATAAGCATTTTAAGTAAGTAAATAAAACCTGACAGTGCTCATTCTTAGGCCAAGATTTATTTTTCCAAACATCTATTAGAGGAGCTTGCTGTAAATTTACTTTGGTTTAAAGGTTTGAAAGATGGTTATCTCCCTTGCAAGCATAGTCCCTGTGAGTTTCAGGATACTTTCAAGGCTCTCCTAAGAAAGCTTTCCTTGGAGTAAACCCCATTTCAGAGGTGAGTTGGGTGGCAGCCAGAGACAGGGCTTTTTCAGCAGTGTCTCCTCACCGACGGAATGCTCTTCTCCTTGAGGCTTGCTTGGCTCCTGCATTACTCTCTTTTAGGCATCAGGCCAAAACATTTCTATTTATCTGAGCTTTTAATTAAGAGGTTGATGTTTTACCACTGGTTTAATAGTATGTTTTAGCTTGGAAGCTGCTGTTCATTTTAAGCTGCTTAATTGTCTGTGATTTTAGGCGCTGGTTAATTCTTAAATTAAGAGCGTTTAATGTTTGTGTCACATCTTAATTGGTAAGCTACCCCGGGCAGGTTCCCTGAAGAGGTGGCATAAAAATTCTTTACATAAAAGAAATAAATTGAATAGACCTGAGTAGGATTTTGAGCAGACCTGCTCAGGGTTGTACTTCCAGCCATGGAAGTGGTTTCCAATTTGACTTCAAACCCAACTCCAGGGGCTACCTTTGACCTTTTAAATCCCTACGGGATTGGGACCAGAGTGCCTCAAGAGGGGCCTTCTCCAGTACAAACCCACTCAGTTGTCAGTATCATGCAAAGAACATAAGAGAAGTCAATGATGGATCAGGCCAGTGGCCCATCCAGTCCAACACTCTGAGTCACACAGTGGCCAAAAATACCAGGTGCCATCAAGAGGTCCAGCAGTGGGGCCAGGACACCAGGAGCCCTCCCCCTCTTGCCCTCTCCCCAGGCACCAAGAATACAGAGCATCCCTTGCCCCAGACCGAGAGTTCCTATCTATGCCTTGTGGCTAAGAGCCACTGACAGACCTCTGCTCCATATGCTTATTCACTTCCCTCCTGAATAATAATAATAATATACTTTATTGTCATTGTACACAGTACAACGAAATTAAAGGTGCAATCATTTCAGTGATCTACAGCCATACACATATACACTCACACAACCATTCACAACCATCCCATAACTCCCTTAAGTCGTCCATGCTTGTAGCCGCCGCCACCTCCTGTGGCAGTGAATTCCAGGTGTTAATCACTCTTTGGGTGAAGAAGGACATCCTTTTATCTGTTCTAACCTGACTGCTCAGCAGTTTCATTGAGTGCCCATGAGTTCTTGTATTGTGAGAAAGGGAGAAAAGGACTTCTTTCTCAACCTGCTCTATCCCATGCATAATCTTGTAAACCTCGATCATGTCACCCCTCAGCCCCATTCAGTGCTCCCCCATGTCTTCTGAGGTACAGTGGGTGGTTAGACTAAGCAGGGCCTTCTCTGTTGTTGCTTTATTATTATGGAGCTTCCTTCCAGAAGGTAATGGACATAGTTGTTTTAAGTGGGCTTTTAGTTTATGTTGAACTTGCTACTGGCTCTTTGGAGGCGACACCGTTTTATTATATCTGTTTGCTGTTGACTGGCGGGGAGGGGGGGAGTTTAGTTCTTGCTTTTAAAAAATAAATTTGACATATATGTAATTATTATTTTTTTACATCGTAGTTAATTGCTTTTGTGATCGTTTTTTGTGAAGGGGAGAAGCAGGGTAGAAATACTTTAATAGAAAAGGAAATTCAGGCCCTCTGAGGGAAAAAAATTCATATACTGAGCTGTTCCTTGCCTTATTTCTGTTTTAGCCCAGATGACTGGCAGTTCTATATAATTTACTTTGACTCCATCTTTCAACTGATCGATGAAGCCTGGACGCCTCCGGCTGAAGGCGAGCAGTGAGTTTCTTACCTTTTTAGGGTTTTAAGAGTTTCTGTAACCATGAAGTTTGTCCTGGGGGGAATTCAAGTCTTGTCACACAGAGGGAGCATCCTCTACCTTAGGCCCTTCCTGGGGATGAGGGGAAGGCAAGATATAAGTATAATCTGTCAGAAGAGTGGGGAAATAACAGGTTTGGTATAGTGGTTAACAGCAGCGGATTCTAATCTAGAGAACCGTGTTCGTCTTCCCACTCCTCCACATGCAGCCGGCTGAGTGACTGGGAGTCAGTCACAGTTCTCTCAGAGCTGTTCTCTCAAGAGCAGTCCTCTTTCAGAGCACTTTCAGCCACACCTACCTCACAGGGTGTATGCTGTGGGGAGAGGAAGGGAAGGAGATTGTAAGGCACCATGAGACTCCCGAGTGAAGGGCAGGGTATAAATCCAACTCTTCTTCTTCTTCCTTGTGTTTAAACATGTGGATCTGGCACTGTCTTGGCAAGATGGGTGCGTGATGTGAAGAGGGGAGGAGGTTAGTAATCGTCCTTAGTAATTCAGATCCTGATAGTGTCAGACACCGACTTGCCTTTCACCCCAGGTCCCTAGTGGGCAATAAATTTTTAACTATGGCCATCTTGCCAGTTGAGCTGTCTTGGTTCAGGCACAGGAGCGAGTGGCTGAGGCAGGGTCCCCAACCTGGCGTCTGTGGGCACCATGGCCGATGTTCCCTCTAAGCTGAGTTAGTGTGAGCTTTTTTTAGCCTCCGGCACCCACATTTTTGTCTCCGCTCAGGAAGGAGGGCTCCAGAGCAAACTCATTGGTGCAGTAGCTCGCTCACAACTTTAATGCCAGTGGCTCACAAAGTAGAATTTTTGCTCACAAGACCCCACAGCTTAGTGGGAGCATTCCATGGCACTCACCAGTACCTCCGTTGGCACCTGCTGAGCATTTCAGGAAGTTGGTGGGGCCATTTTAAGGCAAGGATTGTGACTGGCTGATAGGCACCTGGCCTTTTCTTAGTCATCTGTGGTTCCGTTCCCCTTCAGACTTTCCTTCTTCCTGGGAGGTGTGAGGGCTCCGCCTCCTGTGGGAGCTGGGTTTTGGGGTGGTACTCGCCACCCCCTCCTAAAGTTCCAAATGTGTTCAGAGGCACAAAAGGTTGGGGATCCCCGGGCTAAGGTGTTCACGCAGGGGAGAAGGGCAGTTAAAGCACGTGAAAGCAGAAAAGTGCAGAATAATGCATGGGGGGGCTTTGCTTGGTAGTTGCCGTGATGGTTACCCAGACTAAAAGCTGCTGCTCTGAGGCTGTGTTGTGGCCCGGAACCAGCAGTTGCTTGTCCCACCCCGAGGTGAGATCGGCATTGGTTGTAGCTCTCTTCCATATGCTTGTGGGAACATTGAAGGCGGCCCAAATCCATCAACATTTTTGGGAGTGTGCGCGCATCACCACATCTGCGTTGCCTTCTGTCCCTGGATTCACAAACACGTGGTAGAGCTGGTGTCAATTTCCCCCAGTTTTTCCACTGGCCTCCAAGGCGTCCTTGCCCTTTGAATTGCCGGGGGAGAGAAAGCCTGTCGTTCTGTGGCAAATGGGTAGAGCAGTGCTGCTGTTTGTGCAGGCTCTTGGGCTTCGAGCCGCGATGAGCTGCAGAACAGAAACATAGCTGTTTGCCCCTTCACCACGATTGCACGATAAGGAAAGGTACCATTGAAATGCTACTTCTTGCACGCAGCTCTCTGGAGGGTGAAGTGCATCACAGTGTAGAACAGGCCGTGACTTTCGTAGAGCAGAGGATATCGAAAGAAGCCAACAGCACTCGGCCGCTCCGGGGACCGTACCTTGCCCAGCTGGAGCTGATCAGACGCTTGCGGCACAGAGGGTGCAGTGAGGAACACAAGCTGGGTAAGAGCTACTAATAGGGTGCCACATTAAGCCCCGTGGGAGAGCGTGCAACACTGAAGGCAGCTCTCTCATCCTGGGATTGCAGCAGCTGATGTAAACTGTGTACAAGAATTGCAGAAATTCACCTGTTCTTTGGGGAGAGGAGTGTTTGTCTTCTATTTTAATCGTTGGTGTTAAGAATGGCTCATGGGTAATAAATATTTGGATGCTTTGGCTGATACAGCAGAGCCTTGTGAATTGGTACAGTAATACCAGCTTTTAATTTCCCGTTGACCAAGTGGCACTTATCAGGAAATGCTGGATCTTAAAAATTAACACACACACACACACACACCCGCCCTAGGCTGCAAGTGAAATAAAATCTTTTAAATGATCTTAGAGATGGAAATGGTTCTTGCAATAGGTCCTTGTTAAAATACCACTTCAGCTGTTTGGGTTTTTTTTGGGGGGGGGGGAGGTGGTAAACAGGTTAGATATCAGTCAAGGAATGTGGAAATTAACTGGACAGAAAGATGGACTTTTCCAAGAGCAGATTTAATATATGCTAAAATTATTTGCTCTTTCCGTGTGTGCATTGCATGTTTGTTACACAAAAAACTTTTTTGAAATAAGGAGATTGACATATAGGTCTGTTGTCAGTTCAGTCACATTGGCTAAGGTATTGCTGTGTCATTGAGTTATTTGCCACTGCAAATTGCACATCATCTGTCCTTGGTCCTGTTTCCATTGTTAGGCAGTCCAGATGAGCTCATGTTTGAGTATTTCAAACGATTTGGAGATAAACCCTGCTGCTTTACTGATCTCAAGGTGTTTGTAGACCTCCTCCCATCAACCCAGTATACAAAGGTAAGTTCAGTTGCACTTGATTCGCTCACACGGCTATTCTGTCAGGTTGGGGAAGGGTTGTGTTTTTTAACTAGACCGTGGTCACCTTGTTCATCGCAACTCCCAAAGGATTACAAAAACAGAAATGTCTTTGTTGGAGGAACTTGGGTATATTCAAGCTTCTGCTGTTCACAGGGCTCTAATTAAGAATCCTGTGGAACTTGAAATCCAGCACATTCTTGCATCCACCAAATTAGTCTAACAAACAATGCCATTTTACCTCTGTGTTTGCTCCCATTTTTCTGTTTTCATCTTTATTGAGCCACGAGTGCAGTCCTGTGGTTTTGCTTGCCGTGTCTCAATGCTGATGAGGAAAGTGGCGCACCATCAGCCTTCACTGGAGGCTTGTTCCATTTTGGATGTTCTCTGAAAGGAGGGGGGGTTTATGCTATTAAGAGCAGCTTTTCAGGATGATTTCAGCAGCTGGGAATCCTGCTCCGCTCCATTGTTCACTTAAGCCCCTTTGGGGAAATACTGTGGCTCAGGGGTTATATGTGAAAACCCTGTCCAGTCAGGATCTGTAAACAAAATTGCTGAGGACTAGGGTATGAGCGTTGTTGATAACTGTAATTCTTTGTCTGAATATTGCCCTCTCTTTGCTGGCTGTCTCTCAGCTCTCACCAAAGGTCACTGTGCATTTGAGCATACTCTAACAGATACTATTTTAAAATGGTTTATAAGCTACATTGGAACGATAGTTGTTTTCGTCTCTTTATTTAAAGTATTTTTAGCTGCCATTCCACCTTATAGGAATTCAAGGTGACTTACAGTGTAAATAATAAAATAATTAAAAATTAATAGTTTAAAACTGCTAGTAGGTAGAAGAGCTACTCAGATGCCATCGTGAATGAAACTATTGGACTGGGGTGAAATCTGCTGTGAAATCAAATATTTTGCGATTTTCAACTTTTTAAAATGTGTTCTTCGAGACCTCATGGTGGTTGGCAGAAGCGTGGAAATTTGCACTATCAGATGAGATTGAGGTGTCTAGTTTTGTAGACTGTTCCTTTTTTATCTACTTCATTTATACCCCACCTTTTCCCTCAGTGGAGACCCAAAACAGTTTATAAGGAAGAAGAAGAGATTGGTTTTATACCCTGCCCTTCACTCTGAGTCTCAGAGCGGCTTTCAAACTCCTTTCCCCTCCCCTCCCCACAACAGACACCCTGTGAGGTAGGTGGGGCTGAGAGAGCTCTGACAGAAACTGCTCTTTTTCAAGAACAGCTGTGCCAGAACTATGGCTTGCCCAAGGTCATCCAGCAGCTGCGAGTGGAGGAGTAGGGAATCAAACCAGGTTCTCCCAGATTAGAGTCCGCGCACTTAACCACTACATCAAACTGGCTCTCAATGAACCTACCTCATCTTTGGAGACTGTTTCGGGTGCCCACGCTTTCTGAGATTAACCAGGTGGCAGTCTGGGAGAGAGCCTTCTCAGTCGTGGCACCAAAAATCTGGAACTCTTTCACAGGCCTGTAGCCAGGGTTTTGTGGCTTGTGGGGCAAATTTTTTTCTGGTGGGGCTGCTGTTATTTGCCACAATGAAGGGGGGGTGGCGCGCATCCCTCTCCCTCCCCTGCTGCAATATTTAAACATCCCTTCAGCTGATCAGCAGGGAACACGTGGCCTGTGGATCAGCTGGAGGGCCCTTTAAATCTTGCAGGAGGGGAGGGAGAGGGGCGCCCCCCCCCCCCGGCTTCTTCACAACAGCATTTAAAGGAACCCTTTATATGCTTTTGGGAAGAAGTGGGGAGGGCTTTAAGAAGCAGGGACTCTTTAAGAAAGGGGGCAGAGCCCTCAGTAGCCCCACCGTAGCTACGGGCCAGCTCTCTCCCCAGAGAGATGTGCCTGTCCCCTTCTGTTGTCGCCATCCACCAGCAGATGGGTGTGTGCGTGCGTGTGTGTGTGTTTCAGATGATGTTCCCTCAGTGATCCCTGTTTCCTGCCCTATGTTTTAATAGTTATTTAATTTTTGTGTGTGCGTAATTTAGCTCGGTTTTAATATTTGTTTGGTGTTAGTGCCTTTTTGACTTTTTTTTAATGGGTTCTAACACATTTTAATAAAGTGTATTTTTATTCTGTTACTACCTTGGTGTCCCTGATGAGGGCAGAAGGTGGTACATAACAATATAAATATAAACTTTCAAGAAGCACTAGATTAGATTGAGGGTGACAAACATTCAGTTACTGCTAGGTGAGTATGCTCCAACTTCGCATTAGGGAGTGTGCCACTTAAGAAAATTCCCTCATATATGAGCTTCCTTACATCCCCTAGATTTAGATATGTCTTCACGCTTGCTGGGTTGAATGTTTTTCCAACTGCAGAGCTAAGTGGCTGTTTTTCTACAAAAACAAAAAACAGTATTCAAATAGATTGTGCGATTGTGGATCAGAGGACCCTGAAACAACTTGCCGGGTAGCAAAATATCTATCAGTAGTGCTATTTTTAAAGTGGCTTTGAAATGCTGTAGGGAGTTTTATGTATCTAAATTTTAAAATTTTAAAACCAATTTACATAATATCATGAGATTTTGTAGAATTTATGGAAGTTTATAAAATGTCTCTTAGTATTGTTTATGAGTATGCTTATTAGTTTTTACTGTAAAAATGTTTGGTCTAAATTATCTTGTAATTATCTGTAATGTGTTTTATAGTAGCTGTTTGTACGCTTGGCTTAAGACCTCTGGTCAGTGACGCTAATAAATGAAAGGAAAGTAAAAAGATAACAAATAAATCCCTCTCCTCCATTTTGGCTTCACAACAACCCTGTGAAGTTGGATAGATTGAGGGCTTATGACTGGCCCAAGTTTGCCCTGCAGGTTTCCATGACAGAGTTGGGATTGAACCCTGAGTCTCCCTCTCCCGTGGCTAATGGTTCCCTACTCCATCTGTTCATAGCTCCTTGTTGCCTTTTAGGTTGTGGTCCTCATTCAGGAAAAACCCTGGAACAAACAAACAGAAACTCTTGCAATTCAAGCTGCTGTGTTTTCCTTTATTGCAATGATTTGTTCCCAGGATCCTATAGGTTCTATATTTAGCACCTTGTAAGTTTCGCGATAATGTTTTTTTAATGAATGAATATGCAGGTTTCGCCTTTATTCACGGTTAGCTATCAGCATTAATGAGGATTCTCCCTATGCCACACTTATCCCCTCTTCCATCAAGGGCCAAACTTTCTTCCTTGGTGCCTGAGAAGTAAGTAAACTGAGTGTGTAATAGATTCCAGTATTACAGTTTAGATGTTTCTTTTAATGCTGATACCTAATGATGTGTACAGGTGCAACCTGCTTATTCATTTTTAAGCCTTCCACTCCAAGTTGTGAAATAGCTAATTGTGGTTTTACTTCAGCTTCCCTGGTTGAGTCCCTACACACCCTGCCTCGGGCACCCTGTTAAGGTTGTCTTTTCACCTCTGTTTCTCACCTCTCTGCTGTGGAATAACTTCTGCCTGACCATCGTCGTATTTCCTCCGGCTCTGTGCACAGCCCAACTTTCCTGTATCCTGCTTGTTGCTCCTTCTGTGACCTACAGTCCATTGATTGTGGCAGACTTGAAAAAAGTTCTGTCTCTGCAGAACTCATCCCTGTTGTAGAGACATTTGCACATCTTGTTTGGTGTAGTGGTTAAGAGGCGCGGACTCTAATCTGGGAGAACCGGTTTTGATTCCCCATTCCTCCTCCGCATGCAGCTGCTGGCGTGACCTTGGGGTAGTCACAAGTTCTCTCAGAGCTGTTCTCTCATGAGCAGTTCTCTCAGAGCTCTCCCAGCCCCATCTACCTCACAGGGTGTCTGTTGTGGGGAAAGGAAGGGAAAGGAGGTTGTAAGCCCCTCTGAGACTCCCGAGTGAAGGACGGGGTGTAAAACCAATGCATTCCGTTCCAGTTTCTACAGCCAGGAGATAAATGGGCCAACACCAAGCCACAATGATCTTATGCAACAGCAATAGGGAGGCCACCCAGTGGATGCCCACTGCCTCAACCAAAGGCCTGGTGAAACAACTCCATTGTACAGGCCCTGCAAAATGGTAACAGGTCTCGCAGGGCCCAGATCTCAAATCGGGAGCATGTTCCACCAGGCTGGGGCCAGGACCGAAAAAGCCCTGGCCCTGGTTGAGGCGAGACGTGCATTTTTCTTCTTGTCTCCTGCCTTGGTTCACTATGTGTTGGTGGATGTCTCCATTCATGTTGTTCTGCAGCTCCTCATCTTAGCCTTCAAAACACTCCGCAGCCTTGCCCCTTTATCTATACTCTTGTTTCCACATTCTGCTAGATCCTGGCCTGTGACTTTTGCTGCTCCAGCTCCATCGCTATTGGCTATCTAGCAATCTCCTGCTCCATACTGTGACTCTGCCCTCTTCCTTCAGATTCCCACCTTTTTTCCATGAAGCCTACAGCACATTCCTGTAGTAGTAGAATCAGAGAATCATAGAGTTGGAAGGGACCTCCAGGGTCATCTGGTCCAACCCGCTGCACAGTGCAGGAAACTCACAAATACTTCCCCCTCCACATGCACAGTAACTGCTGCTCCACGCCCAGGAGACGAGGAAAAAACCTCCAGGATCCCTGGCCAAACTGGCCTGGAGAGAAACAGCTTCCTGACCTCAAAGTGACAAATCAGCATTCCTCTGGGTGTGTAAGAAAGGGCCACGAGAACTAAGCACTGGTGCAACCCTCCCTGCCCTCCTTTCTCATGATCTGCCTCAGTTCACAGGATCCGCATGGCTGTCAGACGGCCATCCAGCCTCTGTTTGAAAACCTCCAAAGAAGGAGAGGGCCCCCCCCCCACCTCCCGAGAAAGCCTGTTCCACTGAGGAACCACTCTTAACTGTCAGGAAGTTCTTCCTCATGTTTAGCAGGTCCCTGTGGAAACTAAGCCTAAGAAAATGCAGCTAGAATTAATGCCTCCCTCCGCTCCCCTTACGTCACACTCTAGATCAGGGGACCCAGCGTGGAGCCTGTGAGCATCGCGGCCCCCTCTCACACGTTTCCTGGCACCTGCCACGTGTATTTAGAAAGTGGGCGTGGCCAGATGTGGCTTTTGCCCAGCACGGCTTCTGATCAGCCATGGGAAATTTGATTGGCAGTGCAGATTTTTAAAAACGTTGCTTTGGCAGCAGGTGCCCCCACAGCACAAGGATCTTCACTGTGTGACTGAAAGTAAGCGGTGGCAGCCATATTGTAGCTGGCTCCGCCTCCTGCAGTGGCCATTTTGTGGGTGTGCCCCCCATGTAGTGACAGAAGTCCAAAGGTACCCCACAGGCAACGCTCACTCTAATCTGTGGAGTCCTGTGAGCAAAAAATATATATATATAATTTACTTTAATTTAAAAGAATAAGTTTACAAAGATACTCAAAGATGCAGAGAATACATAGAATGCAAGATATACATAAAACATTCAATAAATAAGGTAATTTAAACTTCTGAAGTAATCAAAATTGTAAAAACAGGTAATAAGTCAACACAGAGATACTATATTTTCTTATGGTGGGTTAGTTACCTCAATTATACTATAAACTGTAGTTAAGTAGAATAAGTAAGTAGATAAATAGCTATATTATACACCCAAATTACGAAATAAGGTAATTATAAAAAACCAAGACAGGAACTAGAGTTGACAAGGGAGAATTATATATTACAATACCAACAAGTCAATCGGATATGATCTATTTAAGAATGATTCACTGGAAGAAATAAATTCAATTACTGGAAACTGTTTGGATAAAGGTAGATATTTCAGAGTTATTTTCATTGTTAATATCAGTGGACAATCTATCTGATATCTTTTCCATTATGTACATATCCCAGACACGTAAGTACCAATTAGATATCAATGGAATTTTAGAGTTCTTCCAAGCCACAGCTATGGGCTATTTCGCCGCTGCACATAGCATAGCGATGAGGTTACGTCTGACTAATGGGACCGGGGAATTGTGCCATAAATTTAAAAGCATAACCTCTAGGGTGAAAGGAATCAAATAGCCTGTTATCTCATGGATACTTTGATGTATCTTTTGCCAAAAGACCCTTGTATGTTTGCAAGCCCACCTGATAAATACCTTCCTGAGCTAAGACAAAAATCTGTGAGCTAGCTCACACTAACTCGGCTCAGAGGGAACGCTGCCTGCAGGACCAAAAACGTTAGGGGGCCCGTCTCTAGACTGTAAGCTTCTCTGGGCAAGGATTTGATCTGTCATATACTCTGAAACATCATGCCCATTCACGGCATTGTATAGAAGAGGAATAGGTAAGTCCTGCTTCTCTCTTCCGAGGTTATAGAAAAGAACTCTGCCATGGCATTGCGAAGTTCAGATTTCCATTCTTTTTCTCCCCCCCCCCCCTCCACACAGTTTATCAACCAGTTGTTAGGCGTCATCCCTCTGTCGGCACCATCGGAAGGCAAACTCGCGCTGCCCGCTAACATCAAGGCTTTGCAACAACATTTGTGTGTGGTGCAGTTGACGAGGTTACTTGGCCTCTACCATGCCATGGACAGAGCCCAAAAACTGGGGGCCGTCCGGGATCTGATGCTGCGGTATCGGCACGGGCTGGAGTTTGGTGAGAAGTGCTTGAATCTGCTCTCGATTGTAGATTATGCCAGCGTTCTTGAATCGTTATCGCTGTTCTTCACTGCTATTTCAGGCACAGTATTAGCAAGTCTAGCATAATGACTGTGAGAACCAGACCTGAGGCTGTTGTTGATACTAGTCAGTAAGACCTTTAGGGTGCAGCCCTGTGCATGTTGAACTCGGAGGAACTCCCACGGAATTAAGTGGGCTTACCCTGAGTACATATACAAGGGATCGGGCAACATGTGACATCTTCATCATGCCAGCTGATGCTTGTAATGCTAAATGCTCGTGCTTCTGCATTTGGGGATTTTGCCTGGCTATGTTATTTTGCTCCAGATTAGTTTCATTTAATCTTTTGCGTATTTGGTTGTAGTAACCGCAATGCGAGGGTTATATGTGTGAATTGCATGCAGGAGAACCACTGGGAAAGCAGACTCCAAAGAACACAAATAAAGAGTACAAATAAGTTGAATAAAAGATAGAACAAAGTTTGAGTCCAGTGGCACCTTTAAGGCCAACACTTGCTTCAGACCAACACGGCTCCCCACCTGAATCTATCTTGAATAAAACATGTCAATTGTAATAGACCTGCACAGAACATTTAATGTCAAATGCTTCACATGCATAACTTCCTTTATCTTTACAACAGCCCTGTAAGGTAGGTTGTTGTTGTCATCCCTGGATTACATGCAGAGGAGCTGAGTGTGCAAGAGATTGGCTTGCCTAAAGCCAGTCAGCAGACTCCAGCAGAGGCAAAATTTGAACCAGGGACCTTCCAGATGGTAGCTGATTGTCTTGGCTACTACATTTAAGCCAGCTCCATATGTTTGAGTTTTAAAGATATGCTTGTGAATAGACAAAGAATTTGGCCTTGGCAACGTCTCCTAGAAATGTTTCCCCCGTCCAACTAAAGGAGTGGTTAAAATTAATTTTTAGTGGGATGAAAATAGGTAGTTTTCACAACGTAATGTGACCTTTGCCTTGTTCATTGTGTTTGCGTTTTTCACCTGATAGGAAAATCCTGTTTGAAAACAGAATTGCAGTTTTCAGACTACTACTGTCTACTTGCTGTTCATTTGCTCCTGGACATCTGGCTAGAGGCAGGTACGTCTGTGCAAACTCCCACTCACTGCATGTGTTCAAACAGGGGTCATAGCCCAGGGTGAAAAAGCACTTTACTTAGGTTACAGTCCATCTACCCAATGGAGCATTTTTGTGTGCTTGCATTGAAATTCTCTCTGTGCAAAATTTGGGAGGACTCCGTGGGAGGACCACGGAGGGGCCACGTGTGCATCACTCGAGTCTCTGGTTGCCTTCCACACTGCTTCAGTGATGTTTGACCAAGGAGATGGTGTGGAAGGGATGGGTGGCATTACAGCCAAGGCTGCCGTAGAAAGTCACTGCTTTGTGGAGCTGCCATATGCAGAGGACAGTCCTTGGTCCATCTAGCTCGGTACGGTCTCCTTTTTAGCTAGATGGCTGAGCGGGGGGGGGGGGGGGGCGTGGTGGGACTGAAAATAATGGACAGGAAAACATTGTCTTCCTGTCCCATAATACTAGAACTCACAGCCGTCACGGAAGTTGATGTGCAGCAGTGTTCCCTCTAAGCTGAGTCAGTGTGAGCCAGCTCACAGTTTTTTAGCCTCCGGCGCACACATTTTTGCCTTCGCTCAGGAAGGACGACTCCAGAGCAAACTAATTTATGCAGTAGGCAAATCGCTTGCTCACAGCTTTAATGCCAGCAGCTCGCAAAGCAGAATTTTTGCTCACAGGACTCCACAGCGTAGAGGGAGCATTGGATGTACAGCAAAATTCAGGACTGACAAGAGTATTCCAGCTTTTGAAAATTCCCTGCCACGGAATGTGCTAATGGCTGTTAGTTTAGAGAATTCAACAAATGTATGGAGCACAGGTCCATCCGTGGCTGTTAAATTCAGTGACTGAATGGACGCTCCATGTTTAGAAGTGATAACCAGTGTGGGGTGGGGCCAGCAATGGGGGGAGGCTTTGGCCTCGGTTACCCTGCTTGTAGGCCTTCCCAGGGTACCTGGCAGGCCAGGGTATGAAACAGGATGCTGGACTGTATGGACCATTGGTCTGTTCCAGCATGGCTGCTTTTGCATTCTTTGAGCAGAGAGGGACCTTTCCCAACACTCATTACTTGAGATCTTTTAACTGCAGAGACTGGACATGGGACATTTGTTATACAGAGTCCACGTTCTGGAAATGAGCCATAGTCCCTCCCCAAGGGGTATCGTTTGCCTTTTCATTATGATCTCCCCGGTTCACATATCCTGCAGGAAGGCAACCTGAGGCCCTCGGGTGCTTTGGGGGAGGGGGAGGCCTTTCCAGCCCTGTTGCGGTTGCCTTGTCCAATCCTCTTTTGGAGTGGGTGCCCTGTTCTTACGGAAGGCTTGAGTGTAGTGTTCTTTACCAGGTGAAGAGCCGGCTGCCTGGCAGTGCTTGACTTTGCTAGAAGAAGGGCTGACTCACAGTCCCTCAAACGCTCAGTTCAAACTGCTGCTCATCCGAATCTACTGCATGCTCGGGGCGTTTGAACCAGTTGTGGAGCTCTACTCCAGCCTCGACGCAAAGCACATACAGCACGACACCATCGGGTGGGTAGTGTGTACGTAGAACGATCCATTGGCTTCGTCCCTAAGCCCCAGGGCTTCTTTCAAACCTTGCATTCCTTGTTGCATCATTTTGTTTTAACTCTTAAGGCTTTTGTTGACCCTCCTGAGATGTATGAATATGTACCAAACCCTTCAAGGTACCTTCAAGAATAAGTACCATACCCTGCTTTTGAGGCTAGCTGCTTAGATTAGCATGTTACGAATTTAAAATCACTTTTAAAAAGTGCACACTTTTTTCTGTGTGGCTGGATACGGCATGGAGTGGGAGGGTCTGCCTATGAATGAGCCAGTTTGGTGCGGTGGTTAAGTGCGTGGACTCTAATCTGGGAGAACTAGGTTTGATTCCCCACTCCTCCACTTGCACCTGGCTGGATGACCTTGGGCAAGCCCTAGTTCTGATAAGAGCTGTCCTTGGAAAAGAGCAGTTTCTGTCAAGAGCTCTCTCAGCCCCACCGACCTCACAGGGTGTCTGTTGTGGGGAGGGGAAGGGAAAGGGGTTTGCAAGCCGCTCTGAGACTCCGAGTGAAGAGTGGGGTATAAATCCAGTCTCTTCTCTTCTTCTTTTTCTCTCTGAATGTCGCATATCATGTGAAACACCACTGTCAAGTCAGGTGTGGGTTTTAGGGCTGGTGGGTGCATTCCGAATCCGAGTACTTTACCTGTGGGGTTTGGCTAATTCTAAGCCACGGGGCCATTCACTGATGCTTTGGTGGTGGGAAGTGCCGTCAGATCACAGCCAGCTCATGGCGCCGCCCATTCAGAGGTGGTTTTGCCACTGCCTGCTTCTGCGTAGCGACCCTGGACTTCCTTGGTGGTCTCCCATCCAAATACTATCCAGGGCTGACCCTGCTTATCTCCCAGGATCTAATGAAATTGGGCTCGCCTGGGCAATCCTGGTCAGGGCCGCTTATGCCTTACACACCTGAATACGAAACTGATTTTTTTTTAGAGAGAGAGCCCGTTTGGGAGAGGGATAGTCGGCCCAGTGGCTCTGGGAAGGTTTATGGAGCTATGCTGGGCCAATTCCTATTCAGACCCACCCCCTTTCCCCCTTGCATTTTGTTTCTTGTGTTAAACACTTCTAATGTACTTTCTGATCTTTAAAGGGGTTAGGGGAAGTTGGGAGGGGAGCTACTAAAGCTCATTACAGCCAGTGTGTTTAGGTACGGAACTTGTATTGTCCTGATTTTTAATTTTGTTTGCATTGCAGTTACTTGCTGACACGCTATGCCGCGGCCCTCGGTAACTACATTGCTGCATCGCAGTCCTGCAACTTTGCGCTCAGGTTTTTTCACTCCAACCAGAAAGATGTAAGTGGCAGTCGGTCTTTTTCATCATAGGTCAATTGTAAACCTCGAGGACAGAGCCTCTGATTTTTACATATGGTGCCTAGCTTGCAGTTAGGCCAATAATTCCCAAACTGCTGCCACACAAGAGCCAGAGTATCTACTGACAGAAGTGGCTGTCAATCTTGTCTGTGTGATTCAGTGTTCTGTTGTATAGTACAGGGGGAAAATCATGGTTGTATTAACAAGAATATATATCTCAACAATAATAAAGAGTGCAGGCTCAACAAGTCATAAGTATAAATATACATTCACATTAATAAGGCAAGGCTCATATAATATACATTCCAATCACACTGTACTGGAAACCACAGTTAATCTCATATACATTTTAATCCAATATTCTTTAGAGAAAAGAAGAAATAGAGTGCTGTGCCATCAATCAAGTGCTTCTTTAAAGATGGTAGACTGTTGCCATTTCCAGTTGTAATAGACAAGCTTTAAAGTGCTTCTGTCGATAAGATATACAAAATGTTTTATGCTTCTTGCTTTCAGGTAGTCACTTGCTTCCAAGTAGTTATGTCCAAATATCTTCAGAGTAGATAGCAACAGTCTATCAGTGGGATTTGCTAGCCTAAATACCACCGTTTCACCAAGACTTCTTCATAGATGGACAGTCACCACATACAACATGAGGTCATCTTTACATTTCGCAGTCGGCATTCATGTCTTCATAAAGGTTTCCATACAGAGGCAACATGTGTAACTTGGGCCTCCGTATACAATCGAAGGTTAACACAGTATCCACAGTGCTGGTTACAATCAGTAGCCTAAAAACAAACACAATCCAATTAGATAATATGCAGCACCTCTATTGATAACCCTCCTACCCAAACCTACTTACTAGAGAGCCAGTTTGGTGTAGTGCTTAAGTGTGCGGACTCTAATCTGGGAGAACCGGGTTTGATTCCCCACTCCTCCACATGCAGCTGCTGGTGTGACCTTGGGCCAGTCACAAGTTCTCTCTGAGCTGTTCTCTCAAGGGCAGTCCTCGAGAGAGAGAGAGCTCTCTCAGCCCCACCTACCTCACAGGGTGTCTGTTGTGGGGAGGGGAAGAGAAAGGAGTTTGTAAGCCACTCAGACTCCGAGTGAAGGGTGGGGTATGAATCCAATCTCCTCCTCCTATCCCTCCCTCCCACTAGTAAGACTAAGCAATTTTATGGGTGGGGAAATAGGGAAATCTCCCTGTACCCCCGCCTGATTAGATCTGATTAAATTAAACTCTTAATCCTAAACTAAAAAAAATAATTATGAAACGATTTAAAGAGTTCACAGCACTACTAGATGTTCTGGTATATGTGCTAGAAACCCTACCACTTCTGTTGCATATGATTCAGAGATCACTGTGTGTTCCTTCCCAGACCTCAGAATACATTATTCAAGCTTACAAATATGGTGCATTTGAGAAAATACCAGAATTCATCGCTTTCAGGAACAGGCTAAACTCCTCGCTTCACTTTGCACAAGTCCGCATAGAGCGGATGTTGTTGGACCTCTTACTTGAAGCAAACATGTGAGTATGGAAGCGTCTGTCTCACACTAGGTTTTCCTGGGAGTCCGAGTGGGCTAGAGGGTGTTGCAGCAGGGAGGGGAATGTGTTGAAAGGAGGGTGGCAGCTGCTAGCAGATACCTGCAGTGCTGAGAGACAGTTCCCAGCAACACTGCTAAGTTCTCTAGGCCAGGGGTCCGCAGCATGGTGCCCATGAAAACCACAGTGCTGCCGAGACCTTTCCTGGTACCTAAGGTAAAGGTAAAGGTTTCCCTTGCTCGAAAGCCAGTCGAATCCGACTGTAGGGTTGCAGTGCTCATCTCCGTTTCCAAGCCGAAGAGCCAGCGCTGTCTGAAGATGTTTCCGTGGTCATGTGGCCGGCATGACTAAACGCCAAGGTGCATGGAACACTGTTACCTTCCCACCAAGTGTTTTTAGAAAGTAGTTGGAACCAGGTGGGGCTTTTGCCCACCAAGATTTCTGATTGACCATTAGAGATCTGATTGGCTATGCAGATTTTTAAAAACCTTCTTTTGGGAAGTAGCTCCCACCGTATAGCAGAAGGATCTTCACTGTGTGACTGAAGGTAAGCTATTCTGCGGCTGGCCACGCCTCTTGCAGCAGCCATTTTGTGGCTGTCCCCACCACACTATGTCAGAATTCCAAAGGTGCACACTGGCCGGAAAAGGGCTAGGGACCCTTGCTCCAGGCTGAGCAGACAGTCTTCTGTCTTCCACAGTTTGCCATACAGTTGGCACCAGGACCAGAACACAACATCCTGTAAATCACGACTTTCATGTAAGGGAGGAAAGAAAGTTCTTAAACTTTCTTACTGCAAAGATAAATTTGAAAATATGTACGTGGTGCAGTCCCAAGAAAAGTGCAGGGGGGTTCACCAGGATGCCTGCTAGTTTTGTGAGTGCTCTATATTGCTCTCTGTTCTTCTCTTTGGCTTCCATGAAAATTATAACTTAAGTTCAGACACGCAAATTTGCTTGTTTTCATATTATATTCAGGTGGCAGAATGTCATCTTCCTAGGCAAAATTTGGGTTAAGTCTACGTAGGTTGCGCCACTAGCTGTAGCCATGGTCAGCTCAAAGATGCTTCACTGTATTGTCAAGGGTTCTGATCAGCATTTCATGCTGTCTTCCATCCTAAACCACTGAAGCAGGCTTCTTATCTCTTCCAGTGTATTTTTTCTAAACTCTGCTTCAAAGGCGGGAGGGGAGTTCTGCCTTTCGCCCTGTGATGAATCGTTTCTGTGACGTGAAAGGGATTCCGTCTTAAGGTCTTTCTAAAACTCCCAATTCAGTAGTTCTTGTTTTTCTTCCCATGGACTAGAACAATGAGTTTGGAAGAAAGTATAAGGTCGATGAGTCTGAGTCCGGAAGAGGACGACATTCCCTGGAATGACTTGCGCGATAACAGAGACCTAACTGTCCTATTCAACTGGGACCCAAAAGACAGGTAAACACAGAGGGCCCACTGATGTTATAAGAAAAAAAGGAATCTTGGGCCACCTTATATTTGTTGTCGCATGGGTTTTCATGGGCAAGAACCCACTCTGTCAAATACAAGATGTTTTTCTGAGTCCTTTTCCAAAGGCCAGGAGGTACCATGGGGTAAGAGGACAGGTCCTCTTGTAGATCAAAGAAAACACTCTACACAGCCAAGGTGCTGTAAAATTCACCTCCATGCTCGAAAGGAGATGGATGGAGTCTAAGGATAGGATTCTCACAAATTAGGGCACACCAATCTCCAGTTGTAGCATATTTATTACCTATGTTGCTTCCCCCCCCCCCCAGTTGAACCAAAACAGATGATAACCAGGAACTAACTTGTCATTCTTTTGATCCGTTAAAAATGTGTCCTCACTATTTTGCATGCTAATTTAATTTAACAAATCACTCCTATATATACAATTATTATATGTAATTCCATTTCATCGTCTAATGAAGTCTAAGGTAAAGGTTCCCTTGCTCGAAAGCCAGTCGAATCCGACTCTAGGGTTGTAGTGCTCTTCTCCATTTCAAAGCCGAAGAGCCAGCGCTGTCCGAAGACATTTCCGTGGTCATGTGGCCGGCATGACTAAACACCAAGGCGCACGGAACACTGTTACCTTCCCACTGAAGTGGTACCTATTTATCTACTTGCAATTTCTTGCTTTCGAACGGCTAGGTTGGCAGGAGCTGGAACTAGAGACAGGAGCTCACCCCGTCATGCGGCACGCTCGGGTATCGAACTGCTGAACGACCGACCTTCTACAGCCTGCAGTTCAGCGTCTTAACCACTTGAGCCACCGCAGCGCCTCTAATGAAGTGTGCACGCATACGAAAGCTCACACCTTGAATAAAACTTTGTTGGTCTTAAAGGTGCCATTGGACTCTAGCTTTGTTCTAGGTCCTCTTGTAGATTAAATATTGGTTAAGCAGGAAGTAGGCAGATTCAGGTGGGGCAGCTGTGTTGGTCTGAAGCAACAGAACAAAGTTTGAGTCCCAGTGGGGCACCTTTAAGACCAACAAAGTTTTAATTCTGGGCTTAAGCTTTTGTCTATGAAGACGTGTGTGTGCGCAAATGCTTATACCCAGAATAAAACTTCATTAGTCCTAACGGTGCCACTGGACTCAAACTTTGTGCTGGGTGTGTGTGTGTGTGTGTGTGTGTGTGTGTGTGTGATCGATTCAGGTGGGTAGCTGTGTTTCTCCGAAGCAGCAGAACAAAGATTCAGTCCAGTGGGCACCTTTTAAAACCAACAAAGTTTTATTCTGGATATAAGCTTTTGTGTGCGTGTGAAGTGTGCACATGAAAGCTTATACCCAGAGTTAATTTTTGTTGGCCTTAAAGGTACCCACCGGACTCAAAGGAAGTAGGCAGTAGGAGTGAATGGACAGGTCTTGCACTGGAGGCGAGTACACAGGGGGATCTCACAAAGATCAGTACTGGCACAGGTGCTGTTCAGTTTGTTCATGAATTATCTGAAATTGGGGATGAGCAGCGTAGTAGGCAAGTTGGCAGATCATACCAAGTGGTTCAAGGTGGTGAAAGGCCAGACAGAATGTTAAGCCCTTCAAGTTGATTATCTCCACACACAGGTGGAGTGGGCAATAATAATATGGCAAAAGAAGTCTCGTGTAGGTAAGTGTGAGGTGATGCCCCCTGGAGCCTAAAATCCTAACTTAATATGCTGATGGAATGCGAACTGGCCAAGACTGAGGACGAAAGAGAGCTTGGGGTTGCAGTGGAAAGTCTGATGAAAATGTCAACCGATGCTCCCTCTAAGCTCCCTCTTTGCTCAGGAAGGATGGGGCTCCAGAGCAAACTAATTTATGCAGTAGCCAAATCACGTGCTCACAACTTCAATGCCAGCAGCTCACAACGTAGAACTTTTGCTCACAGGACTCCACAGCTTGGAGGGAGCATTGCTTATGACCAGTCGACCATACGCGTTTCGGCGTATTTGTTACCAGAACAATTTGGAGAGCATGTGCAGTTACCATGAGAGATTATCCATGGCCTACCTGTGTAAACTTTTAGCAGTTGCACATCACGTGAGAAAGCAACACCTGGCTCTAAATAAGATCTTTGTTCATATATTTCTGGATGTGTGTTGTTTTACAATAGTAATATTGACCACTGAGGAAGGTCCTAAGGGGCCGAAACGCATATGGTCCAGGGCAGCAGATCAGGACAGACGAATGAAAGTACTGCTTCACTTAATGAGTAAAGAAATTAAATTGTGGAATTTACTGCCAGTGGATATAGTGGTGGCCACTAGCCTAGAGAGCTTCAAGAGGGAATGAAACAGATTCTTGGAGGAGAGGTCCATCGATGGCTACTAGCCAGGGGTCATTTCCTGCGGGAGCGCACAAGAGCGGAGCTCTGGCAGTAAGGAGCCAAGGGGGCGGGCACATGCAACAAGCCCCACCCCCTGCTTCCAGCAGCCCTCAGTTGGGCCACGAGGAGCAAGAAGCAGCCAGGTAAGTTGCGAGCCCCCCCCCCCCCCCCGCCCGCCTTCAGGTACAAGCTCTCCCTCCTCTGTGAGGGCAGATCTGTACGTCCCCCCCCCAATAGCTAGCAATCCAAAACAGTCCAGTGGAGGGTGAGTGGCATATGCAAATAAGTTATGCTAATAAGTTATGCTAATGAGCTCCTGCACCTCTTGTTCTACAAAATGACCCCTGCTACTAGCCATGGTGACTAAAGAAAACCTCCACATTCAGAGGCAATAAACCTCTGAATACTAGTGCCAGGGGCAACATCAGGGAAAGGCCTTGACCTCTGTGCCCTGTTTGGCCCTCCAAGACAGCTGGTTGGCCACTGTGTGACACAGGATGGGCCATGGATCTAATGTGGTAGGGCACCTCTTACATTCTGATGACCACATATCTCATCTTGTCCACTGTGTGACTCCACATGCAGGCAAGGTCCATTGATTTCTATGTGGCACCAAACGAGATAAGCCCTTTGTGTCAGAATCAGAAACCATGTTTGCACAACTCGTTCTTAAATCGCTAAAATGCTTTATCTGCTTGCTTAAAGACAAGTCAGAAGTTAACAGAATGCAGGAATGTAGATTCTGCTTCAGAAGGTACATATATCTTGTGGACTTGTTTTGTTTGTACATGCAGTACCAGAGCAGTGTCTGCACTGTCCCTTCCCAGGAATTCAGGGATATTTTCCAATACATAATATGCACATAAATTCCCGAGTAATTTCTATAACTGAAGCGCCTTTGCCTTTGTTCATGTGGGCACACATCTTTTCAGCTGCAACATGATGGACATTGGTGAGAAGAGTTTCTCTTCCTGCAGCGTTGTGCTTTGTGGGGAAGGGGGATTTTTTTGCTATCTCCCCTTGTTTTTTGTTTTTTAAGCTGTTTTTTAAGTCCAAGGTAACACTGACTATGCAACACACAAGGCGAAAACATTAAGTCTCTCTGTGTGTACGGTCTATAGAATATTAAAGCTTAGATACAACACCATGATGATAATGAAGGCCATCATGTAGATCAGGGGTGTCAAACATGTGGCCCGGGGACCGGGTAAGGCCCCCGGAGAGCTTCTATCAGGCCCACAGTGGAACTGGCTGTCTTCTGCTGCTTCTTCCAGTTCTGCTGCTGCTGCGTCATTGTAGGTTTGCAGCTTACAGATGAACACCTGAACAGCATACTTAAGATTGCAACAGAACAGACATTTTGATGTAATAATTCAGAGCAAGAGGTGTCAGTTATCAGACACTGTTAAATAAACAAAATATTGCAAGAGTGCTAAGGTTTTAAGCATGTTTTTATTTTAAGTAAAAAGAAACCCTTTTGTGTTTGTGTCCTTTATAAAGTTTATATCTCTGCTACCTGGCATTACATTTTATGGCACACATGGCCCAGCCCAACAAGGTCTCATTCATGTCAGATCCGGCCCTCATAATAAATGAGTTCGACACCCCTGCCGTAGATCATCCTCAGTTTCATAAAAGCAGTCAAACATTTTTAGTCGGTCGTTAAAACAGCAATTTATCGCTGCTTGCAGTACAAGCAATGACTGAGACAAACTGCACACACGCATCTCACACATCTGTGTGGAAGAGACAGCACATCCTAGTAACTGACGCCATGGACTTCGTGTTGCCCCCTCCTGCTTTGAGGGGGAGGTGCATGAACAACCCCGGGCATCTTGTGATGTGCTTTTGAATCTGCATGATCGGTCTCTTGCAGGGGCATTTCCGAAGAGCATCGAAAACTCTCCCTGGAGGAAGAGACCATCTGGTTGCAGATCCGGTCTTTGACGCTAAGGCTGATAAGCGGCCTGCCGGCTCTCGGCCACCATGCTCACCCAAAGAACTCTGAAAAGACCACGGAGAACGGCGTTTCCTCCAAGATCGACACGATACGGGCTCTCCTGCAGCAGCTAGACGTGGCAGTGAATTCTGGGAAGCAGTTTCTGGAGCAGAAGGTTCAGGTACTGCTGTGGAAAGGAGTCCCTGGATAGGTTCAGAAGCTATAGGACTGTGCCGGTAGACGCAGAATTGAGATTCGTCTCCTGACATTCGTCACAGCAGCCCAATTGGAAAGCTGTCTTGTCACATTTCTGTCAAGCTGGAAGTTTGGTGTCGTGGTTAAGTGCGCGGACTCTAATCTGGGAGAACCGGGTTTGATTCCCCCACTCCTTCACTTGCAGCTGCTGGATGACCTTGGGCAAGCCTCTGTCAGAGCTGTTCTTGAAAAAGAGCAGTTTCCCTCGGAGCTCCCTCAGCCCCACCTACCTTCCAAGGTGTCTGTTGTGGGGAGGGGAAGGGAAAGGAGTTTGTAAGCCGCTCTGAGACTCCCTTGGGTAGTGAAAAGTGGGGTATAAATCCAATCTCCTCTTCTTGTCTCCCCACCCTGTCTAACGTCTCCCCCTCTCTGTTTGTACCTAGTACCCGGTCCTTGGCCCTCCTCCTTCCCGAATGGCCGGCTTCTTCAGCAGTGGGAGCTGCCAGTGTCAGACCACCTTGTTCTACCTTGTTAGTGAAATCTATGAACTCGATACCAATGGCTTAGGTAAGTCCCTGGGAAAAGAAGCCAGGTGAGCTGTGGTTGGAGGGGAGACCTTCCGCAGGTGCTGTTTGCTCACAGAATGTTTGTGTGCTGTCCAGGAGTCTCCAACAAGGGGCCCATGGGCACCAAGGCACCCGCAGAGACATTTCCTGGTGCCCAGCAAGTGCTTTTAGGAACCGGGCGGGGCTTTTGCCCGGCAGGGCTTCTGATTGGCCGTTGGAAATCTGGTTGGGTGTGCAGCGTTTCAGAAAGTTGCTTCGGCAGCAGTTGCCCACCCAGCACAGGGATCTTCACTGTGTTACTGTGTGTGATCATTTTACAAGGTATCCTATTAAACAGCTTCCGGCTGAAATGTTGAAGGGTGACTAATAGAGTTATGCACAACCTCACTCCCTGACAATTTTGTGGTTGGCCCTAGGTCCTGTGGCAGGCATTTTGTCGTTGCACCCGCCACCCTGTGTCAGAATTCCAGAGGTGCCCCTCAGCTTGAAAAGGTTGAGGAGCAGTGTTCCCTCTAAGCCGAGTTAGTGTGAGCTAGCTCACAGGTTTTTAGCCGCCGGCTCACAGATTTTTGTCTCAACCTCAGGAAGGATGGATCCAGAGCAAACTAACTGATGCAGCAACCAAATCGCTTGCTCACAACTTTAATGCCAGTAGCTCACTGCTTGCTTAATAAAGATGAGATCTTTGGTACTTCAAGCATCCATTTATTGATTGTGGTGTTGTTATTCTGTAACTGGGACATCTGTAGCAGACCTGAGTGCCTGGGACATTTGTAGTAGATCAAGAAACTGACCGAGCTTTGAGAACTAATGCTAGCACTTTATTATGTTGTATGTTTATGGTTTTAAATTCATGTTGGGGTTTTATCAGTTTTTGTATTTAATGAATTGTTTTATATTGTTGTAAGCCACCCTGAGCCGGCTTTGCTGGGAGGGCGGGGTAAAAATCTAATGAAATAAATAAATAACTGTTGCATGCTTCTCTTTTCCTAAATTCCTGCTGACTTATGTGTGTGTGTGTGTTTTTAAATGCTACCATTGCATATTGGAATAAGTGACTGGATTTCTTTATTTCCAGAAGATTCAACATTAATTCAAGAGAGAATAGGGAACAGCTTTAAATTGTTGCTTCAACAGCTAACAGGTAAATTAGCCTTGGAAACAAGACAGCGTAATGTTACCAGCCTGTCGACACACAGCTAGGTTAACTAAGCCCGTCAGAGTTGAGTTTTAATGTATGAGAGACTGTGTGTGATGCCAAGCTTTGTCAGTTATATTTTCTTTCTTCAACAACAGTTCAAAAATACCCAGAAACCTATTTTGTTATTTTATAAATAAATCATTATTTGTTTAAACTTACCCCAGCAATCAGAACAGTCCTTCCTCAGGGCCATATAGTCCTCTGAAGTGCCCAGACACAGGGTCATTCTACCAAAAGAGAGAGAGTTGGAATTTTTAATTCCTGGTGGCAGCAGAAATCTACTAAGTTCATGTACACAGAGTGTGGTTTAAAGGCGAAACAGTCTCCCCAATAAGCGAGGATGTCACACCCAGAGTCAAACTTTGTTGGTTTTAAAGGTGCCACTGGATTCAAACTTTGTTCTGTCAAAGCATTAGGAACGCCCAGGTGGATCAGACCCAGCATCCATCAAAGTCCATTATCCTTTTTGCCACAGTGGCTAACCATATGCATCTGGAAAGTCCACCAGCTTGTGGGCATGTGTGCATCAGCCTTTGCCAGGTATTGCATGCTGCCCCCCTAGACAGACTTACAACTGGTATTCAGTGGCAGATTTCCTCTGCCAGTTTGGTGTAGTGGTTAAGTGTGCGGACTCTAATCTGGGAGAACCGGGTTTGATTCCCCACTCCTCCACTTGCACCTGCTGATGTGACCTTGGGTCAGTCACAAGCTCTGGCACAGCTGTCCTTGAAAATGAGCAGTTTCTGTCAGAGCTCTCTCAGCCCCACCCACCTCACAGGGTGTCTATTGTGGGGAGGGGAAGGGAAGGGAAAGGAGTTTGTAAGCCGCTCTGAGACTCCAAGCGAAGGGCGGGGTATAAATCCAATCTCTTCTTCTTCTTCTTCTTCTTCTTCTTCTGAACATGAGAAGAGTCTCATGACAGTTCAGAGACTAAATAAATAAACTTCATTGAAATGAGCTCATGCAGCTGACGAAGCAGACTCATGCAAACTTCTGCCACAGTAAGTATGAGTCCAGTGGCACTTTTAAGGTCAACAGAGTTCTATTCAAGGTGTGAGCTTTTGTGTGTGCACACACTTCTTCAGATACAATGAAGTGGAAGTTATCAGTCCATACATATAGGTAGAGGGTGAACAGCAAATTAGCATACGACATAATGAATATGTTTTAATAGATGTGAGAACCAAAGTTTATATGGTCACCATTTGTTTGGATTCGATTCAGTTCACATCTGTTAAAACATAATCATTATGTTGTCTTCTAATTTGGTGTTCACCCTCTACCTATATGAGCCAGTTTGGTGTAGTGGTTAAGAGTGGCAGACTCTAATCTGGGAGAACCGGGTTTGATTCCCCACTCCTCCAGATGCAACTGCTGGTGTGACCTTGGGTCAGTCACAAGCTCCGCCACAGCTATCCTTGGAAAAGAGCCGTTTCTGTCAGAGCTCTCTCAACCCCACCCACCTCACAGGTCTGTTGTGGGGAGGGGAAGGGAAAGGAGATTGTAAGCCCCTCTGAGACTCCAAGTGAAGGGCGGGGTATAAATCCAATCTCTTCTTCTCTTCTTCTTCTTTCAGGAGCAGCTGTGCCAGAGCCAGTTTGGTGTAGTGGTTAAGTGCATGGACTCTAATCTGGGAGAACCGGGTTTGATTCCCCACTCCTCCGCTTGCACCTGCTGATGTGACCTTGGGTCAGTCACAAGCTCTGGCACAGCTGTCCTTGAAAAAGAGCCGTTTCTGTCAGAGCTCTCTCAGCCCCACCCACCTCACAGGGTGTTCTGGGGAAAGGAGGGGAAGGGAAAGGAGTTTGTAAGCCGCTCTGAGACTCCGGGTAGTGAAGGGCAGGCTATAAATCCAGTCTCCTCTTCTTTATGGACTGATAACTTCCATTTTCACTTGCATGTCTCAGTTTCCTTTCCCTTTTCAACCCTCACCAGCTTTTTGGCCTGGGCAACAGTTACAGCAGCATCCCAGCTCAGGCAAGGCTAGAAGGCATGTTGGCCATGCCCACAAGGGGGCCTAATTGCATAATTAATTTGCGTTATGTGAAGAAGTGCTCTTTTTTTGTGCTGGATCTGCTGCTGCCAATCAGTCATGCCAGTTCTAGTATTGGCAGGGCCCCTCGCAATTTTCCATTTTCTTTACCCTTTCACTTCACGCCTACTTTTATAAACCTAGCAGATCCTTTATCTAGACTAAAAAGGCCCCCAAAGCTTGATTCCAGGAGTTGATTTTTACTCCACTCAGGCAAGCACTTGTTGGTCTCTTTTTAAAATATTTATAAGCCCACCTTTCTCCCTGTCAACTTGAGGATATAATGGCCGTAAATATCTTCAGCCCCCCGCTGATTTTAAGCTGCTGGGCTGTGTATATGTCTTGGTCCTCTCTAGGTACTCCCAGATAGCCAAAAGAGAGGATGCCTGGTTGTGTTTGGGATTTGACTAGGCACGTTGCAGGTTGCCCCGGGCAACTTCTGAAGCGTGCAGCTTCCAGCGTCTTCGTTTTAAGAATTCCCTAAAGAAAGTGAGCTATTTATATTTGTCCATTTTCAGTGGCTTCTTCTGCAGGGCATGCATCTGAAATTCTAGCTAACTTAAGAGGAACACTTTGAAAACATGGAACAGAGAGTCTAATAATGCATTGGGCAAAAAGGCACACAGACCCAACCATTAACGTTCTCCTTGTAAACTTGATAAAAGTAGCACTTCAGACACAATGAAGGTGGCCCTGACCTGGGTAGCCCAGGCAAGCCCAATCTCGTTAGATCTCAGAAGCTAAGCTGGGCGGACCCTGGCAAGCATTTGGATGGGAGACCTTCAGGGAATACCAGGGCCGGGAGGCCAGAGGCAGGCTACCAAGCTACTTCTCTGAATGTCCTCTGTGGCCCAGCAGGACTCGCCAGAGGTCGCCATGATTTACAGTAAAGGTAAAGGTTTCCCTTGCTCGAAAGCCAGTCGAATCCGACTCTAGGGTTGCGGGGCTCATCTCCGTTTCCAAGTCGAAGAGCCAGCGCTGTCCGAAGATGTTTCCGTGGTCATGTGGCCGGCATGACTAAACACCAAGGTGCATGGAACGCTGTTAACCTTCCCACCGAAGTGGTACCTATTTATCTACTTACAATTTCTTGCTTTCGAACTGCTAGGTTGGCAGGAGCTGGAACTAGAGACGGGAGCTCACTCCATCATGCGGCACACTCAGGTCCCGAACTGCTGAACTACTGAACTTCCACAGCCTGCAGTTCAGTGTCTTAACCACTTGAGCCCACTGCAGACACACACAAAACCCCACAATGGAAGTGAAAGCACAGGGCTATCATTTAAACCTGAGGGCATTCATCCTCTGGGATCAAGTAGAGACATGGAAACAAAACCGCAGCCTAGGTTGTGTTACGATTTTTCATGCCCATCTTTAGAACATGAATTGTTACTGTTATTAATATTGTTGTCGAAGGCTTTCACGGCTGGAGTTCATTCGTTGCTGTAATCTTCCGGGTTGTGTGGCCGTGGTCTTGGCATTGCAGAACCTGACGTTTCGCCAGTAACCGACACAGAGGACACCTGACACCTTGGCACAGAGAGTACTTCATCTTTCTGTGTTATACCTCTGAGGATGCCAATCACAGTTACTGGCGAAACGTCAGGTCCTACAGTGCCAAGACCACGGCCTCACAACTCGGAAAATCTACAGCAACTAACGTCATTAATATTCTTCGTTTATTGTTCATTTGCTGTTTTATTCATGCTTTCCATATATTGTGGGATTTTTATTGTTATTTATAAAAACTTAATAAAAACAGTAATTTAAAAAAAAAATTTTTTTTTTAAAGATCTGTTCAATAAATGCAAAGGTGACTTACTGGAAGTCACAGAGGGCAGCTTCACAAGCCATCCAAACATCTTAGAAAACCTTGTCTTCTTCCTTGAGGTGAGTACATGGGCCTCCTTTTTTGTAACGAGACCACGGAAGAGCAGAAATGACTGGGTGCTGCAGCAGTCTCCCTAAAGCGCTCATGCCGCCTCCCTCTCTTCTCATCCTTCCAGACAATCTCCATTGTCCTGTGGGTGTGTAGTTACTCTGATGCAGTCCTCCGGCCTTGCAGATCAAACTTGCAGAAGAAGAAAAAGAAGAAAAAAGACAGCATCGCAGCCATGGTGGGTAGTGGTGTGGTGTAGTGGTTAAGTGCGCGGACTCTTAATCTGGGAGAACTGGGTTTGATTCCCCACTCCTCCACTTGCACCTGGCTGGATGACCTTGGGCAAGCCGTAGCTCTGATAAGAGCTGTTCTTGAAAAAGAGCAGTTTCTGTCAGAGCTCTCTCAGCCCCACCCACCTCACAGGGTGTCTGTTCTGGGGAGGGGAAGGGAGAGGAGTTTGTAAGCCGCTCTGAGACTCCTTTGGGTAATGAAGGGCGCGGGGTATAAATCCAGTCTCCTCCTCTTCTTCTTGTCTTTCCCTCCTTGTGCATATGCAAAAGGGTGGGAGTCTTTAACATAAATATTTACTTTGGGAGCAGTGGACAAATGCATTAGCCTTCCAGCAAAGAGGATGGAGCCACAAGGAAACGTCCCCTGTTTGAAATCCCTGTTTTCTCTCCTTATGGTAGCCCCCAGTGTTTTCCAGCTTCCAAGACTACATCTCTGGGCTCCAGACACTCACTTCCAATGTGATCGACCACATCAAAGGGCTTGAAGTTACTCTAACTGCACTTAAACTTGAAGAGCTGTCCATAGAAGACACTTTACTGTCACCGGTAAGAAATCTGCGTACATCAAACTAGCATCGTTATGACCGCTATTATGCCTGGGGGTGGGAGGGGGAAGTTTATCCTCACCCCAGGAAAGTTTTGAGTGCTTCACTTCCCACCCAGCACTTCCGGAATGAATGCAGCCATTTTCTTATGGAGGCAAACATAAAATGCAGTCATGGATGCCTGTGGGGCTGGGTGGAAAATCTGTAACTGCCTTCACACAACTCAGTCCAACAAATTGACCCTTCTGGTTCAGTGTTGACAGCTGAGAGCCAGTATGGTTTAGTGGTTAAGGGCGCGGACTCAAATCTGGGAGAATCGGGTTTGATTCCCCACTCCTCCACATGCAGCTTCTGGACGACCTTGGGCAAACTGTAGTTCTGACAAGAGCTGTCCTTGAAAATAGCAGTTCCTGTCAGAGCTCTCTCAGCCCCACCTACCTCACAAGGGTATCTGTTGTGGGGAGGGGGAGGGGAAGGAGATTGTAAGCCGCTCTGAGACTCCGAGTGAAGGGCACGGTATAAATCCAGTCTCCTCCTCCTCCTCCTTTTCAGGGTCTCTGGGCAAGGATCTTTCCCAACCAGTTCCCTCAGATCCTTTTAACTGGGGACACCGCGGTTGAATCTGGGATCCCTGCAGGCAAAACTAGGGCTCTGCCATTCTCCTTCAGTGGGGGAAGTCATCCAGGCTGGTTAGGTCACGCCTCCTCTCGCTCCAGGCAGGAGCCGGCAAAGATGTCCATGGTCTCTCTGCAGCACAATCCATTGAGAAGAGGCCTGCTGTCGCAGGGGCCTGCCCTGCACCTGAACCCAGCCTGGCTCCAGCTGATGGCATGGAGGTTGAGCAGGTGGACCTAGAAAAGTCCGGTCTCCCTGAAGAGGTGGAAGACATCATGGTGCAGGCAAAGAGGCCGATGACCAGACGAATTTACAGCTATACTGGGGCCACGTTCAAGACAGGGGCCCGCAACAAGAACATAGACCCTCAAAAGCCTTCTCGTTAGGAGGTTGTTCTCATCTTGCACCAGGGCTGGAAGCATGGACTGAGGCCAAATACACTAAAGGGGGCAGGTAGCAGCCAACACAGCAGTACTGAAAAATAAAGGGTCGCGTGACATATCGTCCAGTCGGTTTGTTAGGAGACTCCTTAAAGGGACGAAGCAGTTAGCACCCCCGGGGAGGCCTAGATTACCTACCTGGAGTCTTTCTAAGGTCTTACAGGCATTCACCAGAGCGCCCTTTGAGCCACTAAAGTTCATAGAGCTGAAGTTCCTCCCTTGTAACAGTGACCTCTGCCAGGAGGATATCAGAACTGGGGGACGTCAGTTAGAAGTGAGCCATGTATGTTCCACAAGGACTCAGTAGTACTCAGGACGGACCCTGCTTGTGTCCCAGAAGTAAGCTTGGCCTACCTCTTAAACCAGCAGCTAGGCCTCACCCCCCTTGTTGTATGTCCAAGACTCTCACACCCGAAGGAAAAGACCTAGAATTATAGAATTGGAAGGGACCTCCAGGGTCATCTAGTCCAACCCCTTGCACAATGCAGGAAATTCACAAATACTACACCCACACACCCAGTGACCACTGCTCCATGCCCAAAAGCTGGCAAAAAACCTCCAGGATCTCCAGCCAAAATGGCCTGGAGAAAGATTGCTTCCTGACCTCAAAGTGTCGATCAGCATTTCCCTGGGCCACGAGAACTAAGCACTGATGCAACCCTCCCTGTCCTCCTCCTTACGATCTGCCTAAGTTCACAGAATCCGCATTCCTGACAGATGGCCATCTAGCCTCTGTTTCAAAGAAGAGCCCACCACCTCCCAAGGAAGCCTGTTCCACTGAGGAACCATTCTAACTTTCAGTTTAAAAACTTCCTAAAGTTTAGCCGAAAACTCTTTTGATTTAATTTCAACCCGGTGGTTCTGGTCCGACCTTCTGGGGCAACAGAAAACAACTCCACAGCATCCTCTATATGACAGTCCTTCAAGTACTGATACAAGTTCGATGTTTTCTGGTTTCTGCATGCAAACTCCAGAGGATGGTGGAAGACAGGAGGGCCTGGCGTGATGTGGTCCATGGGGTCGCGAATAGTCGGACTCGACTGTGTGACTGAACAACAACAAATATTAACAGGACGGCACAGCTCAGGCTGATAGACAGCTTATTTGTGTTGCATAATATGGCCAGTGTGGGGAAGAAGGTGTAAAAATCCACTATTGGCCCTTGAGTAAAACTGCATCCATATGGCCGAGGTGGGTTTATGGGCACCACAGGACATTACGGCCCATTCAACCAGGGCAGAGGTCACTTTGGCTGCCGTTTTCAACTAAAGCACTCACAGATGAGGTCTGTACAACATCTACCTGGTCATCTATCTCCACTTTGTCAGGCATTATAGGATTGACCAGCAGATCTCTGTGGAAACAGCCTTTTGGGGAAAGAATGCTACAGCAAGTAGTGGGGGTGATGATAATTATAAAAGCCGTCTTTCTGAGTCTCTTCCACCCTGTCAGTTAGCTTTGGCATGTAATCAGCTTGGATGACTTCCCCCACTGAAGGAGAACGAAACATCGGACCTATCTGAAGGTTTCTTCTCTTCAGTGGGATGAAGCCATCCACTTCCCACCCACCCACCCACCCACCGCCAACACGGCAATTTAACCTGAATACTGAGGTTTTGCTTTAGAAAAACAACTCATACATTAACTTAAGATGATCCAAACAAAGTAAAGAAAGCAATCCCAAATGCTTTCATTTACTTAAAATTATTTGGCACAGAATTCGACACTTTAATGATGGTCTGGGCCTGGCTGGGGCGATGGCACGCGTGCCCACAGAGAGGGCTCTGAGTGCCACCTCTGGCACCCGTGCCATAGTTTCGCCACCACTGCTCTAAGCCGTGGAGTCTTGTGAGAAAAAATTCTACTTGGTGAGCTACTGGAATTGAAGTTGTGAGTGAGCGATTTGGCTACTGCATACATCAGTTTGCTCGGGAGCCACCCTTCCTGAGCCGAGATGAAAATGTGTGAGCCAGAGGCTAAAAAACTGTGAGCTAGCTCACACTGACTCAGCTTAGTGGGAACACTGTATACAATTATTAGCAGGTGTTTTGGCGAGACAAGTAGAGGCATATATGGAGCCAGGCTACTGGATGACTGGAGGGGTGGTCTCGCTCCACCCCAGGAGACTCACACAAAAATTTGCGTAGCCCTGCCTGGAGCAAGAGGAGGCATAACCTAACCAGCTTGGATGACTTTGCCCCACTGAAGAGAAGAAATCTTCAGGTTTTGTTCAGGTGCAGCCCCTCTCCGTGGCTGGACTTTTCTCCCTACCCTTGGTGTCCCCAGCTGTTGCAAATCCAGCTGGCTCTTTTCTGCACAGCTGCATCCTCAGTTTTGCTCCTTTGTCTCTGTGACAGAAAGTTTGGGGATTGGCTGTTACACTTCTGTGCACGTGTGTGTGTGCGCTCATTCACGTAAGCAAAGATACTTGCACGGCGCTTTGGAATCGGGCCTTGCGACAGGCAGCCACGAGAGGGCACCAAACCAAGTGCAAACGCTTAGCTTTGTGCCGCTTGTTTTGGGGGATGGGAATGCTTATTGAGGAGTTGTTTCTATCACATATCCACCCACCCAGGGCTTTTTTTGTAGAAAAAGCCCAGCAGGAACTCATTAGCATAATAGGCCACACCCAACAGCTGAGACTCATTAGCATATTAGGCCACACCCTGACACCACCGCTCATTAGCATATTAGGCTGCAGCCCTGTGTTGCCAGAAATTTGGTCATCCAGCCACACCCACCTTTTACTTCTTATTCTGTTTACCTTGTTTGCGGTTAAGACCTAGGGTTTTTTGTTGCAGGAGCTCCTTTGCATGTTAGGCCACACACGCCTACTGTAGCCAATCCTAATGAGTTTCTGCTTTTGGGTGTGGCTTATTATGCTAATGAGTTCCTGCTGGGTGTGGCCGACTCAGGAGCCAGCCGGAACTCCGTTCCTGTGCGTTCCTGCCCCAAAATAGCCCTGCTGACCCACCCATCTCTGCAGGGTTGCCAGAGTGAGTGGCTAATGAAGGTGGCCAGCGGAGATTGCTTTTATGTTTCAAGTCCTGTGGCTTTCCTGCCAAAACTGGGTCTGGAAGTGGCGGGCAGCTAAAACCTGCAAAACGCCCTCTTAGAAGAAGAAGAAGAGATTGGATTTATACCCCGCCCTTCCCTTGGAGTCTCAGAGCGGCTTACAAACTCCTTTCCCTTCCCCTCCCCACAACAGACACCCTGTGAGGTGGGTGGGGCTGAGAGAGCTCTGACAGAAACTGCTCTTTTTTCAAGTACAGCTGTGCCAGAGCTTGTGACTGACCCAAGGTCACATCAGCAGGTGCAAGTGGAGGAGTGGGGAATCAAACCCGGGTCTCCCAGATTAGAGTCCACACACTTAACCACTACACCAAACTGGCTCTCTTACTTTCTCAGTTCCTGTTTTCTGACAGCCGAGGAGAGTTTCTTGCTTCCACCTTCTTCTTTTTTCCACGCAGCAAGGAGTGTCCGAAGAACATACAGCTGACAGGGGATTTATTTTATTTACTTACAAAATTTACATCCCGCTTCTCTGCCCTTTCAAGGGCTGCCGGGGCGGCTAACAATTTAAAACATAATGTGATAAAATTACAGTACAAAAACCACTAAGGTAAACCCTTCCCCCCAAAACATACCTCATTAAAACAACTTTTAAAAGGGTTTTAAAAACATAGTTAAAATACATATAAAACGGGTAAAATACAGAGATGACATAAAACAAAGGAACAAAAAAGCCTGTAGTCATCTGTCAACAGAAGCTTCATGGGGAGAGAGTTCCAGAGCTTTGGAGCCAGAACCGAGAAGGCCCTGTCCCAGGTGGCCACCCACCTAAGCTCAGAAGGTGGGAGCACCCGGAGCAGGGCCTCTGAAGATGACCGTAACGGTTGGGAAGGTCCATGATTTATTTTATTTTTTATTTTTTTATTTATTCAAATTTATAGCCCACCCTCCCTGCAAGCGGGCTCAGGGCGGCTCACAAATAGGGCAACATATGCCTGTAGTTAAAACAGTAAAAACAAGATTAGGTGATCCTCCAGGTATGTTAAGAACCTAAGAGAAACCAATGTGAGATCAGGCCAATGGCCCATCCACTCCAACACTCTGTGTCACACAGGGGCCAAAAATACCAGGGGCCCTCAGGAGGTCCAGCAGTGGGGCCAGGACACTAGAAGCCCTCCCACTGTTGCCCCCCCCCCCCAAGCACCAAGAATACAGTGCATCACTGCCCCAACATAAGAACATTAGAGAAGCCATGTTGGATCAGGTAAATGGCCCATCCAGTCCAACACTCTGGGTCACACAGTGGCCAAAAATACCAGGTGCCATCAGGAGGTCCAGCAGTGAGGCCAGGACACCAGAAGCCCTCCCACTGTTGCCCCCCCCCCCCAAGCACCAAGAAGACAGAGCATCACTTGCCCCAGAGTCCCTATCTATACCTTGTGGCTCATAGCTACTGATGGACCTCTGCTCCAGATGTTTATCCGATTCCGTCTTGAAGCCGTCCATGCTTGTAGCCACCACCACTTCCTGTGGCAGTGAATTCCACGTGTTAATCACTCTTCGGTTGAAGAAGTACTTCCTTTTATCCGTTCTAACCCGACCGCTCGGCAATTTCATGGAGTGCCCACGAGTCTTGTGAGAAAGGGAGAAAAGGACTTCTTTTTCCACCTGCTCTATCCCATGCATAATCTTGTAAACCTCGATCATGTCACCCCTCAGCCGTGTTTCTCCAAGCTAGGCAGTAGGCAGATGGTATAGTAGAAACTGTTCTGGCTGGCTGGGTGGACCAGTTCCCTTTGCCCCTGTTTAAAGTTCTTCTGGACTTCAGAGAAGCCTTTACTCTGTCACATCAACACATTCACAACACGTTCAGGAGAGGCAGAGAGTTTTATGAAAGGAATATAGAGGAGTCTCCTGTTGGATTCTTTTTCTCCCTATGGATTGTCATACCCTCTCTTGTTAAATGTTTGTATTGCAACCTGTGCTTTTGAACTGTGACCACCAACCCTACTTTATCAATTGACTTACTATAATTATGTTGCAGTAGACTGATGTCTACTGGTAACTTGTGAAATTTGTGAATTTTTCAATGGTCTGCCCTTGTAGTTTGTATTTCTGTATATACGCTTGGGGTCCCTATTGTTTGGCTTGTCCTTATTGGCACTGGCAGGGGTCCCCCCCAGTGCTGTTTTTCTTTTGGTGTGTGTGGGGGGGCCAGAACGGAAAGCAAATGAGAAAAGTCTCCCTGACGCCTTTCATTTCCTGCCACCTGGGCATATGCGTGAGCTTGGGATCTTAGGGGTTTCCCCACTCCCAGAGGCCAGACCCTATAGTTGCAGGGCATGCAAGGCAGAGATGTTCCGCCAGCCATTTGGCTGAGGACAGTGACGGGGGGGGGGGGGGAATATAGTATGACACCTGGCTCTCTCATGCATTTCCCCATCCCTCGCAGCCCCTCCCTCCCAAGGAGGTCGGGGGAGCTGATTTTCTTTCTGCCATCTGGGACATGTATTTTGTTTCTGTTTATTGATTTGTTTTTAGCTGGTTTTATTGTTGGTTTTAAAGTAAAGAGTTTTGCTATTACTCTGTTGTAAACCACCCTGAGCCCTACCCGTGGGGAAGGGTGGCCTAGCAGGTAAATAAATAATAAATAGTGTGAGGAAATGGTGACGAACCACGTGCTGAAGCTGTTTGAGGCTGAGCCAGAGTTTTTACGACGGAAACCCACCCATCAGGTATGACGTGCGGGATACAGAGGTCACATACAGCGTACCAGGCTTGTGAGCAGCACGAGAAAGGCCAGATGTACGATAAAAGCACCTTCCCTCCTGCACACCCCTCTTTCTTCAAGTGCTAAATTCACTCTCAGTTTGGTGTGAAGATGGGATTATTGGGCTGAGGCCTGGGACATTGAGAAAGATCTCTGAGGACTTAGGTTTAGGACCCCTGGAGAGCCTGACGGGGTTGGCTGATGCAAGGCGACTTGATGCACCAGCAGCACTCCCTGGAAGCCCGGAGGTCAGGAGCGTTTAATTCTGCAGCATACCTGGAGGCATTTGCAAGAATCACTAAATAAAATCAGCCTTCCGTGTGACTTACAGGATTTGTCTATAACTTTTTCCCCCAGGAAGAAAAGAAGTTTACAAAGACTGCGCTAGTGAAGGTCCAGAACAGTTACCAGCATTCAATTCAAGAAATTGGTGAACTGCTGAGAAAAAGACTCGATAGTATCAAAAACCTGAAGGTTTGAGGAAGCGCCTCTCGGGCACCAGACACCGGGCACCGCTAGGCAAGAATCGACATCTGCTGCCATACTTTGAACGTTGAAAATCTGGAACTTCCTCATAAATGCATGAAGGACTTTGATCGTAAAAATAGTTTTTTTATGTATTAAAAAAGATATATTCAAGCCGATTTAAATTATTGTACATAGAACCAGAAGCAGGGACCCTCCTCAGTCAGGGTTAGACCACTTTTTATACATGTTCATAAGCCTATTGTAACAGAAACAAAACGAACCCCAATCTGTTTCATTTTCCTTGGTGGTGGGGGAGCGTTCTCCAGAAACTCTTTGGGGGCTTGAAGTCTTTAGAAGCAGCAATAGAAAATCCAGTGTAAAGCATATTTCAAAGGAGTTTGTATTTTTCCATTGCACAATGCCGTGTTTATAGTTTTGTGTGTGGATTTTTTTTTGCCTTAGAAAAAGCAGAATTCCCAGAGGCCTGTGTTCAGCTGTGGAACTCTTTGGGTGTTTCTTTCCACCACAACATCTGCTTTGGTTATGGAGCTGGCTTGTCTGACTCATATAGCCACCCTCACAACCACTGCTGGGTAAAAGTGCTACCTAAGTTAGTTTCAGCTTTTAAGACCACAGAGTCTCCTTTTCCACCCGGTCGGAGGAAAGGAGCAACATTGGAGAAGGTTCTATAAATGTACAGGTTACTAAAGATGAAATAAGAATTGCAAAAGGAATTTGTAAGCCTGTATGAAAGTTTTAACTTTCTAAACTTCAGATCAACAGAAGTCAAAGTGTCATTGGTCACACACCTCGAGACCCATCTCTGCTCTTGGGCAGTTTCAAATAGTATGATGAAGGAGACAGGGTGTATAATTTGAGCAGTGCTTCCTTGTAATTCTTTCATCTGGACTAGATCCTGATCACTTTTGCGAAAGGCGCACGCAAGATAAACTTCCAAGAACTGTGGGGAATGCAAGCAAATGGCTCATTCTCTCATGGGGGTGGGTGGGGGGGGCTGCTGCATCTCTTCTTAGGTGCTCCAGATTTTGGGGTTTAAAGAACTTTAGGATGAAAAGCCAACCCGTCATCTTCCAGTGGCAGCCGCACCGGCTTCTAGCAAGGGATGAGGATGATCTACACTTATTTTTGTAGCCAATCAGTTTTGATTATCCAGGTGCTGGCATTTGGGGGGGGGCACGTTTTGTAGTGTCTGGTATCACTAATCCTGTTCCTTTTTCTTTTCAGAATAACAGGTATAACTTTTACAAAATAATAACAGGCACTCCACTCCCCCCCCCTCCTCCCCAAAAATATCCCTTTGCCTACAAGGATTTAGGGGCAAGAACTTCAAGCTTTTGAAGGCTTCTGGTTATGGAGGGGAGGGGGAGCTTGCGATCTACAGTTTTACGAGTCCTGGCAGTGCTAGTGAAGTCATTTTACTCTTGCTGGAAATCAGTGATTTCCTGGATATCTACCTGGCTCTTATTTAGCCAATTAGACGTGCTGCTCTAGTTCACCCTTTCTCCAAAGTGTCCGCACTGTGAGGGGAGGAGAAAAGAGCTTTCATCTGCATGGATTCCTCATTCTTCCACGCAGCGGACAGGGACTGATAGGTCCCGTAGATACTTTGCAGGTAGCTTCCTCCTTTTGAGTGGATGTCTGTCTGTCCCAGGGGGAAAGCAACTGCCCGTCCCAGGGCTGAATAACCAGAGGCTGAAAAGGAGTCTGGGAAAACATCATGCAGGTCTTTCCTAAATACTTTTTGATACCATTCCTTCCCTGGATTGATGCACCTCAGAACTGAAATTGACATATGTGAGTTCATCATCCAGCGACACCAAGGTGGCTCTTAAAGACCCCGCACTTGAGATCAGTTTTGATTTAAAACGCACCATTCTGAAGGTAGTCTCATCAGATTCTTGCACTGCCTGTGAGGAATGAACCCCCAAAATGTGGATTTTTTTTTTAACAAAATAACTTTAGGTATGGCATGTTCTTCTGTTCTTCCTGCAGGTGTACCTTAAGGGGAGATTCTATTAAAAATGTTTAGGCCAGGGTAGGATCTGTTAGTGGCTCTGAATGACTGCCCTCCGTAGACGTCTTGATCCAAAATGCCTGCTGTTGCTGGCACTGTGAAGCATTCCTCAAAGATGGCGCCTACTTGGAGTGGTGTGACGTTTCCTGTGCCCAGAATGACACTTGGAAGAAAGCTCTGGTTCGTACTCTTCAGCAGAGAGAACTAGGAGGTCAACGGGGAGTTCTGGCGGTATTGGCTGTTCATGCTTTCCCCACTGAAATGTTGTGGGACTTATGCGTGGCGGCTCATAGGCTCTTAAGTGTCTTTCAGCTGCCCTCCAAACCAGGCCTGACACTAATGTGTAAGAAAATCTAGTACCCCCACACACACCTTATTTCCCCCCCCCCCCCCTTTTTCCCCCCCCCCCCCTTTTAATTTAGAAATATAGGGCTCTCAGAATGCCAAACACTGGAGCGGCCTTCTGTATTTTATGCATTGAAACTGAATTCTGAAATGGCCTTTGCAAAACTTTTCAATACCCGATCAGGAGAAAAGGATGCTGTCTTCTTGAGTAGGCTAGGTATGTCTATATACACACACTCTGTTACGTATATAAGGGGGGGCAACATCTGATTCCAGCTCTAAGCATTCCTAGCCTTTCTGTCCATTACAGAGAGTGATTTCTGCAATCGAAAGAGTTTTGATCTTGGTGACCTGTGAAACGAGTTCTTAACCCAGTGGTTCTTTCCGTTGTCAACACTCACACCCCTTCTGGATTTCATTTAGTGCTGCTGTTTATCCCGTTTATTTATGGGTTACTGATGTGTGTATAGAAGTGAGCTACCAAAACTACTGTTTACAGACTGAGAGGAGTTACATAGTGCTGGGTATTGTGAGCCAGGACCCTCCTGCAGCTCTGTCTTTTGCAACCAAATTCTTTGATTTCAGCCTGTTTTGTTGGGTGTTTCTTCATGGGGATAAAGGTGGGGTGTGTTTTAACCCAGCTGCCTCTCCTTTGTGTGAAGAAAACTACCATCACCTTAGCTGTGTCGCCCATTGGAGGGTGGGGCTTTTGTATCTCTTTAGTAATTTTTAACTGTTTAAATTTTTGCATTTATATTTTGCAATCTTTTATGTTTAATCATGATTTTTTGGGGAGGGGGGGGGTCTCTTTTAACCTATATAAAGGAGGGGATTTTCTGTTCTCTGCAGAAGCCACCTTTGGACTTTTTCATTTCCTTGATTGCGCTCTGTAATTTATGACTGTGGAAGATTGTGTAACTCTTTGCCTCCGACATAATTAAGTGACAGAACTGCTAGTGATCTGCTTTAAACTGGATGGGTTTATAATTTATATTAAAAAGTCAGTTTCTTTATAATTCCAGTTTTGCTGCTCGTCGTCATGAATGCATGTCGTGTTTTTCCCCCCATCTGTGACTTGTTCAAGCAGTTACTGAAGTTGGTTGTCTAGGTCCCAAAAAACAAACCGGGGAAGTAGGCCACATTGGACCCCAGATGTTTTCATGCTACTGACCCAGTCAAGTACTCTGGCAAGACACCAGAGTTACCAAGACTGACCCAGTCAAGTACTCTGGCAAGACACCAGAGTTACCAAGAATCCTCTTTCTGCCTTGGAAAAGAGGTCGAGCCCATGGTTGTGCGCGTTCTTACACACATGTATGTGCATGAAGAAAAGAATACGGTGACAGACCATAAAATTCAGCATCTTGGCCCTCATTTAACAAAAAAAAGGAAAGCGTGTTTGTAGCCTCCGTGAGAGAATTGAGAGAATTCTCAGGCTCCGTAGCAATTCAGTTGTAGCCTGGAAGTTGGAGAGTTCTGGTCTCCATAATTCTTGCATCCCAGGATTTGCAAAACAAGTTGTTTGTATTTATTAATTCCCAAAGCGGCTTACAGCCATTTGAAAACAAAACTCTGACAATTAAATATAAAAGGAGCTCAGAGGGAAGTCTGTGTCAAGGCATGGTGGAAGTGTCTGGCTTCACCTTTCTTCTTTAAGCTTGGTCAGTTTGGTGCAGTGGTTAAGTGCGCAGACTCTAATCTGGGAGAACTGGGTTTGATTCCCCACTCCTCCGCTTGCAGCTGCTGGATGACCTTGGGCAAGCCGTAGTTCTGTCAGAGCTGTTCTTGAAAAAAGAGCAGTTTCTGTCAGAGCTCTCTCAGCCCCACCTCAGAGCTCTCTCAGCCTCACAGGGTGTCTGTTGTGGGGAGGGGAAGGGAAAGGAGTTTGTAAGCCGCTCTGAGACTCCTTTGGGCAGTGAAGGGCAGGGTATAAATCCAATCTCTTCTTCTTGGTCCTGTTTAGTAAAAATGTACCTCTGGATTTGACGGTTGAGGGAGACGCTCTGCAGTTGACCAAGAGAGTGTCTCCCAGAAGCGATGAGTGCCTTGATGATCACTGGTGATCCTTCTATCCTTTGGTTTGAACTTACGCACATTGTTTTGCACTGCTTTCGCATACATGAAGCTGCCTTGTTCTGAATCGGACCCCTGGTCCATCAAAGTCAGTATTGTCTTGGTCAGACTGGCAGCAGCTCTCCAGGGTCTCAGGCTGAGGTCTTTCCCATCACCACCTGCCTGGTCCTTTTCACTGGAGATGCCGGGGATTGAACTTGCAACCTTCTGCGTGCAAAGCAGAGGCTCTTCCACTGAGCCACAGCACCTCCCCTAATGTACCAAACTCATTTGGACAGAAAATTAAAGCCAGTTCTTTCTATTACTGGAAGGGAAGGGGTGTGTATATGTCAAATATTTTCCACCCAAAGTGGAAAGGCCAAATTTTGCTCCTGGTTAAAAAACAAACAGGGTACCTGTCCAAATGACAGACATAGCAATAAATTGTATGTGTGTGTGTGTGTGTTAAAGTAACTGAGTAACTCCTGCCAGCAGGGACTCCCCGCCAAACAATGGAGCTTTGAAAGGCAATTCTGTGCTGGATATCTGCATGTTGAGACTACGTAAAGGGGGCACAGGAGGCACAGGCAGTAAAAATGAGCAAAGATGACGAAGAGGGAACTGTTGACTTTGCAGATTGCTCTTTGGGTTTTGGCGGAGGTGGGCAGGCAAGGGGAGGCTTAAAAGTTACTACACTGGGGAGTGCAGGTAGAGGTACAGCGGTGCTGGGGGCCATGGAGTGATTAGCCTTCTTGCGGTCATTAAGGCTTCTTGCCGTGGTGGCTTGCTTGAGCCTGTGCGTCTTCTCAAAACTTGGGGTGGCCTGGGAGGGGTGGAATGACTGAATCCTGCCAATTTATCTAATCCAAATCTGTACTAGGGAGGTGGCTGTTCATACGACTAGAGTCGTAGTAGATAACAAATGAAAATGTGGAGACAGTGTGCGACTGCAGTAAAAAAGGCCAACGCTATGCTGGGGATTATTAGGAAGGGAACTGAAAACAAATCAGCCAGTATCATAACGGCCCTGTATAAATCGATGGTGCGACCTCATTTGGAATACTGTGTACAGTTCTGGTCACCACACCTCAAAAAAAATATAGCATTGGAAAAAGTGCAGAAGAGGGCAACTAGAATGATAAAAGGGTCGGAACACTTTCCCTATGAGGAAAGGTTAAAGCACTTAGGGCTCTTTAGCTTGGAGAAACGACGGCTGAGGGGTGACATGATCGAGGTTTATAAGATTATGCACGGGATAGAGAAGGTAGAGAAAGAAGTACTTTTCTCCCTTTCTCACAATACAAGAACTCGTGGGGATTCCATGAAATTGCTGAGCAGTCAGCTTAGAACAGAATAAAAGGAAGTCCTTCTTCGCCCAGAGAGTGATTAACACAGGACGTGGTGGCAGCTACAAGCATGGACGGCTTCAAGGGGGAACTGGATAAACATAGGGAGCAGAGGCCCATCAGTGGCTATTAGCCACAAGGTATAGATAGGAACTCTCGGTCTGGGGCGAGTCAGCATTGGCTTCTCTTATGTTCTTAGAAACGTATGAAAGAGGAGACCCTGCTCAGTTTATGTTGAGGACCTGAAGGTTACCTCAAGTGGAGCACAACAGTGTTCTACCACTGTGAGCAGCACGGCATGTTCACCTAAACCTAACAGCAACAAAGCTTTCACACTTTACAGAGAAACAAACTGAGGTTGAAAGAAAAAGACTTACCTGACATTGCTCAGTGAAGTCCCAGTATTGAGCTAGGATGTGGGTACAGAGGCGAAGGCCAGACTATGCTGCCGGAGTCACAGGTTCACCTACCTCACAGGGTTGTTGTGAGCAGGGGTCATTTCGTAGAAAAAGAGCTAGGGGACTCATTAGCATAACTCATTAGCATATGCCACACCCCCTGACATCACCGGAAGTGTGTCCTCCCCACAGCCGGCGGCGACCTCCAGCGGGCACCAGTAGGGAGCTCCAGGCCCCGCCTTCCCGCACCTCACCCAGGGGGATGGTGTCCCCCCGCGTCCCCCCCCAAATGACCCCTGGTTGTGAGGACCAAATGGAGGGCGAGAGAACCATGCACCCTGGCCTGCGCTCCTTAGAGGGGAAGTGGGATTTTAAAAATGCACTAAAGAGAATACATAAAGCAAATTTTTCTTGGTCCTTTATCCCACAAATTTTGCCTTAAGAGGGACCATGAACTTGCCTAGGAACAATGGTTTCTAATGCAGGACAGGTTGTGGAAGGGTTTTGTTGTTGTTGAGTCGCACAGTCAAGTCCGACTCTTCGCGACCCCATGGACCACATCACGCCAGGCCCTCCTGTCTTCTGTTGTGCTCTGAAGTTTGCTCAATGTCATGCTCATTGCATCAATAACACAGTCTAACCATCTCGTCCTTTGTTGTCCCCGTCTTCTTTGACCTTCAATCTTTCCCAGCATCAGGGTCTTCTCCAGGGAGTGCTCCCTTCTCATTGGGTGGCCAAAGTATTTGAGCTTCAGTTTCATTATCTGGCCTTCCAGGGAACAGTCAGGGTTGATTTCTTTGAGGACTGACTGATTTGATCTTCTTGCAGTCCAGGGGACTCTCAAGAGTCTTCTCCAGGACCAGAATTCGAAAGCATCTATTCTTTGGCGCTCGGTCTTCCTTATAGTCCAGCTCTCACAGCCATACATTACTACTGGGAATACCATTGGTTTGACCATGTGGAAGGGTAAAAAGGTAAAAGGTTCCCTTGCTCGAAAGCCAGTCGAGTCCAACTCTAGGGTTGCGGTGCTCATCTCCGTTTTAAAGCCGAAGAGCCAGCGCTGTCCAAAGACGTTTTCCGTGGAAGGGTAGCCGTTCATTATTTAATTTTAATTCTTTACGTCCCTTATACCCTGCCTTTCTCACTTGGACTTGAGGTGGAATGACACAGCAATTCAAAACAATGGACAGGATGGGATATTCAACAAACAGTGAAATAGGAATCAGGCTTGCGGAACCAACCGGGAGTCTAAAACCAGAACTGAAGCAAAGGATAAATTTGGTGGTGTGCTTAAGTGTGCTGACTCTAATCTGAGAGAACGGGGTTTGATTCCCCACTTCTTCACTTGCAGCTGCTGGATGACCTTGGGCAAGCCACAAGCAGGGGCAGATTAACCACGAAGCAGACTAGGCACGTGCTTAGGGCACCAGGGCCAAAAGGGGCACCACAAAGTTGGGAAAAGGGTGAAAAGCTTAGTTTGTACAGTATATTGTGCTATCCTAGGAGTAATTTTTTGTATTGCTGCAACCTGCATTGTCTATCTGGTCAGACAGTTCAACAGCTAAAATGGACTGGGTCAGTGTGGAAAGGAGGGGGGCACCAAGATGGGTCAGTGCTTTGGGCACCAGTAAGCCTTCATCCGCCCCTGGCCACAAGGTATAGATAGGAACTCTCGGTCTGGGGCAAGTGATGCTCTGTATTCTTGGTGCTTGGGGGACGACAACAGTGGGAGGGGTTCTAGTGTCCCGGCCCCACTGCTGGACCTCCTGACGGCCCCTGGTATATTTGGCCCCTGTGTGACACAGAGTGTTGGACTGGATGGGCCACTGGACTGATCCAACATTGGCTTCTCTTATGTTCTTATAGGAACTCTCAGGCTGGGGCAAGGGATGCTCTGTATTCTTGGTGCTTGGGGGGGGGGCAACAGTGGGGGGGCTTCTGGGGTCTTGGCACCACTGCTGCGCCCCCTGAGGGCCCCTGGTGTTTTTGGCCCCTGTGTGACACAGAGTGTTGGACTGAATGGGCCACTGGCCTGATCCAACATTGGCTTCTCTTATGTTCTTATGTTCTGACAAGAGCTGTCCTTGAAAGGGCAGTTCTGGAAGTTCTCTCGCCCCGCCTACCTCCCAGGGTGTCTGTTGTGGGGAGGGGAAGGAAAGGCGTTTGTAGCTGTTCTGAGACTCCGAGTGAAGGGCGGGGTATAAATCCCCCTCCCCTTCTTCTTAACACGACCCATTAAATGATGCCAAATTCCATAGTAGGTTCCTCGTCTCTATAGCCAGAGTCGCTAAAAATGTATCCCAGTAACTTTGTGCGAAATTAGTACAGGGCGGCTCTATCCACTGCACAAGAAAGAAAGCCCTCCTGAATAATTCAGTTTGGGAGACTTGGTGGAAGGAGCCTCGCTGGCCTCCTCCGGACAGGCCATTCCACCAGGCGGGGGCCACCGCGAAGAAGGCCACGCGCACCGGCCGGTGGGCGATTTTGCCCTCTTGCAGGACGGCTCCTGCGGCAGACCCTGCTCCGCGGGAGCGCAGCTGCCGTAGCCGAGCAAGAGGCACTTTGTGCCTGCTCAGAGGCACTCCCGGTTTGCCGTCCTCAGACATGGGGGGGGGAGAAAACGTACGCTACGCATGTTCGGGGGCAGCGGGATCTGCAGCTGCACCCGGCTCCCCGGCAGAGGCAGGGCGTGGGTAGAGGGCGCTCTCCTCCCCCAGTCCCGACTTGCGCGTCGGGTTTGCCGTCCTGGCCCAGGCCCCTCCCCCTCGGTAGAAGCTTCCACGCCGCCGGCCCCGGTGCACGACGAGCTCGGCATGGCTGCGCGGCGCCCCGGACCCACCGCCACCGCCGCCTTCCTCCTGCCGCTGGCCCTGCTCCTCGCCTCGGCCTGCCACCGCGGCGCCGCGCTCCACACCAAGGGCGCCCTCCCGCTCGACACCGTCACTTTCTACAAGGTAACGGGGCTGGGGGGCGCAGGAAGCCGGGCGCTTGGGCGCTTGCGAAGCTCAAGGCGTCGATCCCCGACCCCCCTTGCACGGTGCAAGCAGGCGCGGCGGCGGCACCCCTCGGCTTGCAAAGAGGGAGAGAAGAAAACGCCCC